CACATGTCAATGGATTTAACTGATGCCAATCACATGAACTTAGGCATTGAATATAGGTAGAGCAGAGAAGTTAGGAGATGGTTGGGTATTATTAAGGAAATAGGAAATGCACAGTGATAATCTGTCCATTTGAAAGTTGTCATACATATCTGTTATGAAATTTAGTCTTGTTCATAAAAGAAACCAGTAAACAGTTTGGCTGATTTTGTGCTTGGATGAACTCTATTTAACTCTAAATACAGTCCACCTCACACATTGCAAAGTTGGATGAAGTAAGAAATCTGCTGGAACAAACCAAAGTGTGGATACCAAAATGATAGTAATGAGTGTTATTGTTAATATGGACCCGTGAAGATCCGGGGTAGAATAGGTTTTCAGCAACTCATGTTTGCCGTAAAAGCTGACTATGCTTGTCGTAAGAGGCGACTAATGGGATGTATATCATTGATCCCAATTGCGTGAATCGATGCTCATGATATCAGTCACTGGATTGTCTAGTCAAGGCTTGATTATTTACAGACTGACTATAGCTGCAATACTGCTGAGTGTGGCATTAAACAACAAACAAACAAACAATATTGTTAATATGTATCACTGGTATAATGAACTGATTTCAAAGAGGTTTTTTCCACATTCTTCACTCTAATATTAAACAGTGATATATATCCTTATGAGATTTTATTTGGGAGATTGGATTTATTGAACAATATATATGAACAACCTAAGAAATTGAATAAACTTTAATGAAGAATGTTCCTTAGTTGTATGAAAGTATTTTGATAAAAAAAAGTTAGATAATATTTATTGCAATACATTCCATTAAAAAACAGATGCAATGTAAAACATTGCTACAGTGTAAATGTACAAGAGTTAAGTTCTTATTGATATGATAACGCGTACAGTAAATCTCTAATGTAGATTCTTGTTGCTTATTGGGACTTATCCCCTTTCCTGGTTATTCATCCATTCATTCTGGAGCATTCTTGCACCACCAGTTAATGAACAACAGCATCCTAAGAATCTCTTCTCGTCCATAAAAAGTCCTGGCAGTCTAACCAGTCAATGAATGAATCAGAGTCTAGCCAGGCTCCACGCAGCCATAGACAACTGCAGCGCTGAGCTGTGTACAAATACTGTGGCACTGGTGCCAAAACACCAAGCCTGTCTCCTCCCACTGCCGGAATGAGCTGGCCAGTGCTGAGAGGTGATGCTGGTGTGGAGTGTTCGAGCAGGGGAACTCACCAGACTGGAATGTACCATTCCTCACACGTGGGTGTGGGTGTGGGTGTGGGTGTTAGAAATAGGGCAGGAGTGACTTCATTCACAATCTACAGGGGTTATCCCCCATTTTTGGGAAATTCCCCATATAGAGTTGCAAGACGGTGTTCTTAAGAGAGCAAAGCTAGTTGTCCTGAGCAGTTCTTTGACAGGATTCTTTGAGATAATATCGCTTGTGTTTTATACGGAATAACCATGGTGTACACTTCAACACAACTGATTGTGTATGTATGAATTTCTTCCTTTATGTTGATGTATGACAATTTGTTATGGCTAACACTTGCCTGAAAATAGAACAAACTTTAAAATATTGATTTTTGAATGTATTATGATTGTGAATGAATGTATCTCTGTGTGTAGAAATGACAAATGTGCTATCTATCACAGCTGATTGTGTTTGTAGTGGGGGTGGGGGGCGGTAGGGTAGGCTAGTGGTTTTTGTGTTTGCTTGTCATGCCAAAGACCCATGTTCAATTCCCCACATGAGAACAATATCCATTTGTGGTGACCTCCGCCATGATATTGCTGGAATATTACTAAAAATGGTATAAAAACATACTCAATCACTAGGTTTGTAATTTACTTGTTGTTTTTAAAAAAACAATTTATGTCTGGAGATAATCACTACCTTGCACTTGAAATCAAGCAAGACAATATTTTACTGATTTATATATTTGTCTTTTACACTTGTTGTCATACTGTTATTTACCTGTATCCTGTTGAAATATATTAGATGCCCAGGCAACATGACATGTTTAACCTTATAACACCTTGATGGGGAAGTAGCTATCACACATACATGTGTAATCACAAACAGTTGTCATTGGGGACTTGAATGCACCTGAAGAATATTTAAGCAGAAATATCTTTCAAGGTAGGATAGTACTTAGCACAAATAACTTCATCGGACAAGTACCGAAGTTTGTAAATTTGATGAAGAGCGTGTTTTTATCATGTCTGAGAAAGCATTTGACAAGCAATTCATCATCATCAACAAGATGGAAGAAAGTTTTTATAAACTGCAAATGTCAGCAACATCTATGGAAATCCCCTCAGGGCTCTGACGGTCAGGCAATAGACATTGCCATGACATCAGAGGAAGTTGAAAACATTCACATGTTGGAGTGGGACATGTTCAAAAGTGATTGTTGGTGATAAACATTCAATGGATTGTTATCAAGTTTACTGCCCTGGTATATGTTTGCATGATGAACATATTGTGTATGAAGTGGTTACGAACTACTACCTTGTTCCTTATTGATATTTCTAAAAAGTATTTATTGGTCTATTTAGTGTAATACAATACATTTCTACACTGAACCTCACCCTGTGAAGATCCGGGTTAGAATGGGTCTTCAGCAACCCATGCTTGTCGTAAGAGGGAACTAACGGTATCTGGTTGTCAGACTTGCTGACTTTGTTGATGCATGTCATCGTATCCCAATTGAGTAGATCGATGTTCATGATGTCTGGTCCAGACTCAATTTACAAACCGCCGTCATGTAGCTGAAATATCGCTGAGTGCGGCGTTTAACAACAAGCAAACAAAACATAGACAACTTCAGTTCAACCAAATTGTCTGTTGTATTTCATAACTTAGTCTTCCAGATATGTTATTATTTTCTTGACATTGAATGAATAAACATGAAAAGGAACGTAGCACTGCTTATTGATTATGGGAATATCAGATAATATCACATTAAAATAGCCAGAGGCAGACACACCAACCCTCAGAAAATGAAGGCAAAGTGCCGTAAATCACACTAATTACTGTATAGGTATGGCAACATGTATCACATGCAATGCCATATTACCTGCTTATGGGATGAATACAACTTTTTAGACTAATCATCCTGGTCATTTGAATGTGATCAATCACAGTGGTCTTCCCCGGCAACAGGCAGGAAGAACATGTAGTGTGCGGTGAGGCTGGCTGGCCCATGCTAAACACAGACTGCTGCAGTGCCCATATCAACATGGTGTGCTGGGCCTGCTTACCTGCTCCACACAGTCCTACATTTGTGTTGTCTTCTAAACTTGGTGATCACAGTCAGTGTTAACTCAGTAAATAAGATGGACAACAAGAAGAGTGTGAGGTCGCAACAGTCTATCAAACGTCGTTTCATGAACATGTAAGTCTGTTAAGCAAGTCATGGTCATGTTTTCAGGTAGCTTGTGGTGACAGTAACGAGGAAGTCATTAAGAAGCACATGTTATTTGTGTATGGCGCAGTGGGACTTGTCTTTGATGTTCAGGTTGTACTTATCTTATTGTCATCGTGGGAGTTGGTAGAGAAAGTGGCTTATAGTGTCGTCTTTCAGTGACTGTAACTGGGAGTGATGGAGGCAGCTGTAGCAATGATGGAGGAATTGTAATTATGGTTGTTTTTTCAATAGAGGAACTTCTTTGTATACCTTTACATGTTCATAATCTTGGGGTTTTGACAGTGTTATAGTGCACAAGGTGTTAATGTATCTTCAATTAGATGTCTTTCAGAGGGATTGTATGTGTTGATGACAATACAAGGTAGTTCTGGAATATGTGTTCAACCATGCGATTAATGAGTGAATATTATTTATGATATTGTTTCAATTTTATGTCTAATAACAGGTGTGATTGTGTCATGTGTAAGTGTTGTTTTTAATATTGCTCAAATTCTATGGCTTACGAATGTGTTGGAGTGATTGTGAATTAGTTTAAATGATTCTTGAATATTGCTCCAATTTCATGGCTTCAATGAGAAGGACATTGTCATGATTCTTTGCGTGATTTTAATGTCATTGCTCCGATTCTGTGTCTAGTGGCACCCTTGGATTGATTGTATATATGAGTACTTTGTGTGTTAGTATAAATAATTCTTGAATATTGCTCCAGTTTCATTGCTTTGATGACAATGACCTGTTTGAATTATTCTTTGTGTGATTTTAATGTCATTGCTCCGATTCTGTGTCCAGTGACTCCCTTGGAATCAATGATTGTGTATATGAATACTTTGTGTTGATATTTTTTTAATATTGCTCCAGTTCTATGGGTGTGTATAATGGTGTGACTGATATTGTTCCAGTTTTACACGTAACAGCACTTTCAGAGTGGCTGTATGTCAGTGTAAATATTTGTATATATGGGTGTAAATATCTGTTCATTAGTGTAAACAGCATTAGAAATTGGCACTTGTCCTATAGTCCTTGCAAAACTACCCAATAGTTAAGGTATCGTATATGTTATCATTGTAAGGACCAGTGGACTAAAAGTGTTAGTTTCTACCCCTGGTAAATATTGCTGTTGCTCAATGCTACTTTTCACAAATAACTTATGCATGAAATTACCCTATTCTCTTTGTAATCAAACAATTGTTGAAGGGGGATGTGTTGGAGTTTCAATATCGTTTCATCCATCAGTTCATTCTCTCTGGGATGCAGCTAATGTGTAGATATTGAGAGTTATCACGAAAACAGAAATAATCAACCAGTACAAACACATTACATCTTACTGGGATGTAGGATTCCTGTGTGGCCAGTTGCGACTGTTCTGCGACTTGTTGCTCAGTGTACTCTTCATCCCTTTCATTGATTGCAATTCATGTGGGCATTATAATGAAATTACTGTTGAGATAAAGTAGGAACGGTGCCAAAATTTAGGTTTGTTTATACTTTGGTATTTATTTAAAAAGTTATGTTTTTAACCGAAATTTGTGGACTGTAACATATGTGTTGCTGTTTCAGACTTCATCGCGACGAGTTCCAGACTCACAAGCGACAGATGTCTGGTGGAGGAGGTAAGTTTGCGTTCCTGTCTTAAGCACTGTGTCCACCTAAACATAGTATTTCCTGATCCCATGAGGGCTGTTTGCAGGATATGCTGACACCAGTACTATATGTTTGGTAGTGCTTGCAATTAAGGGGGTCCTTGAGGTTTTATTTGAATCTTGGGACCCCATAAATCTTAAACTTTTACATGGGGCACGGGTGGCCCAGTCGTCTAAGGCGCCGCAATTCGTTGTGCAGAGTTGCATCACCTGCAGAGCTGCATCACTTCGGGCATTCCTCCCACATTAAGCTGACACGCCGTGATACAACTTGAATACTGTTAAAAAACTCACTCACTCACTAAACTTGTATACTGATAGCTTATGGGGTAATATTGGCAGTAAAAACTCATGTGAGAACAATATATGTTATGAAAACAATGATTGCATCATGTTGAGATATTGACATACTATTGTCATGGAACTGCACCAGGATTTAACTGATACGTGTATATATGGCAGTCTCACATTACATGGAGTCCAGTTCAGTATTAACACATAACTATGTAACCAGACCACCAGATATGATATGTGTATGTTATACATCCTGGAAGGTGGTCACATCCTTATGCCAGCCATAGGTGCGTGCTTGCTCAGCATCAGATGGATAGGTCATAAATAGTAAAATCTGATAAGCTACTTAGGTCAGCTTTTCCAAGCATCTATCATGGACTTTAATCTGAAATGTACCCTATTGCAATTCTGACACTGAATATAGAACAATTCTCACTACCCATTCTTGACGCAGAATAATCACCCCCCACCCCTCAACCCCCACCCACATCTGCTATTTATACAGAATAATTTCTAGTACCCATTTTGACACAGAATAATTCCCCAGTACCAGTGTTTGACACAGAATAATAGCCCTGTACCCATTCTTGACATAGAATAATTTCCCATAACCTATTATTGATACAGAATAATTCCCAAGTACCCATTCTTGAATATTCCCTAGATTTCACTAGTGACACATCATGATTCTCAAATACCTATTCTTTACACAGGATAATTCTGTGGTATCAGTACCTATTCTAGATACAGGAAAGGTCCCCAAATTTCCATTCTAGACACATCTTTCCTCAGAACACATTCTTTACACTAGAATGCTCCCCAGTACCCCGATCGTACACAACAAAGTTTATTAGAAACCACTTCTCCTAATGGATATCTAGTATCATTCCATGATGATATCTACTGTTATCTAGTTGCAGAAGAGTATGGATAGTCCTTGTAGGTCGAGCTGTGCTCATAGTTATGTTGTTTGTCATACACTTAGGCTGCAGGCCACCATGCTAGATCTGTCATACACTTAGACTGCAGGCCACCATGCTAGATCTGTCATACACTTAGACTGCAGGCCACCATGCTAGATCTGTCATACACTTAGACTGCAGGCCACCATGCTAGATCTGTCATACACTTAGACTGCAGGCCACCATGCTAGATCTGTCATACACTTAGGCTTCAGGCCACCATGCTAGATCTGTCATACACTTAGACTGCAGGCCACCATGCTAGATCTGTCATACACTTAGGCTTCAGGCCACCATGCTAGATCTATCATACACTTAGACTGCAGGCCACCATGCTAGATCTGTCATACACTTAGACTGTAGGCCACCATGCTAGATCTGTCATACACTTAGACTGCAGGCCACCATGCTAGATCTGCCATACACTTAGGCTTCAGGCCACCATGCTAGATCTGTAATACACTTAGACTGCAGGCCACCATGCTAGATCTGTCATACACTTAGGCTTCAGGCCACCATGCTAGATCTGTCATACACTTAGACTGCAGGCCACCATGCTAGATCTGCCATACACTTAGGCTTCAGGCCACCATGCTAGATCTGTCATACACTTAGACTGCAGGCCACCATGCTAGATCTGTCATACACTTAGACTGTAGGCCACCATGCTAGATCTGCCATACACTTAGACTGCAGGCCACCATGCTAGATCTGTCATACACTTAGACTGCATGACATCGTGCTAGATCTATCATACACTTAGACTGCAGGCCACCATGCTAGATCTGTCATACACTTAGACTGCAGGCCACCATGCTAGATCTATCATACACTTAGACAATGCAGGCCACCATGCTAGATACGTCATACACTTAGGCTGTAGGCCACCATGCTAGATCTGTCATACACTTAGGCTGTAGGCCACCATGCTAGATCTGTCATACACTTAGGCTGTAGGCCACCATGCTAGATCTATCATACACTTAGACTGTAGGCCACCATGCTAGATCTGTCATACACTTAGACTGTAGGCCACCATGCTAGATCTGCCATACACTTAGACTGCAGGCCACCATGCTAGATCTATCATACACTTAGACAATGCAGGCCACCATGCTAGATACGTCATACACTTAGGCTGTAGGCCACCATGCTAGATCTGTCATACACTTAGGCTGTAGGCCACCATGCTAGATCTGTCATACACTTAGGCTGTAGGCCACCATGCTAGATCTATCATACACTTAGACTGCAGGCCACCATGCTAGATCTGTCATACACTTAGACTGTAGGCCACCATGCTAGATCTGCCATACACTTAGACTGCAGGCCACCATGCTAGATCTATCATACACTTAGACAATGCAGGCCACCATGCTAGATACGTCATACACTTAGGCTGTAGGCCACCATGCTAGATCTATCATACACTTAGACTGCAGGCCACCATGCTAGATCTGTCATACACTTAGACTGCAGGCCACCGTGCTAGATCTGTCATACACTTAGACTAGACGCCTCCATGCTAGATCTGAAATATACTTAAACTGCAGACCACTGTGCTAGATCTGGGAAACACCATTCTCTCACTAACTGTAATGCTGACTATGCCTGGCTTTGTTAACACTGACTCAAAAGCACACTTGACAATGCTTAAACAGAAACAAAGTGTTTCTATGAGGCACCGAAAAACATTGTGATTTTAAGAGGCTCCTACAAACAACTTTTTTATGATGTTTCTGCTTGCACAGCATATGCTACAAAGTAACCTTTGTTGATCAAATGAATAGCAAATATTATCAGTTTGGTTTTGAAAGAGCAAGAAATTAAATATATTTGTATGAACAGGTCAAATTCATACTTCCTAGAAATGAGCACATAAACAAACCAACACCTCTATCGAAGCTATTTTCATCCTCTTAGAAGGTTTGAATCAAATAAAGAGTTTGCTGTAACTTAACATTGCCTGTTGAAAACAATTACGTGAATCACCCTACATACTGTGCAGAGAGAGTGAGCTTACAAAAATTCACAAAACCTTTGGAGGCTTGATGCAATGTAAGGTATCAGAAAACGCTTCAAAGCCTATTGTCACAACACACTGCCGCGAAAAACAAGTGAACAAATATGTGCATGAATTACATAGGATGCTTCCAAATAACATCGGTTTGAGGTGTAAGTCTGTATAGGTTCTTATTGCAGACAAGGTTAGGATAGCCTATTAGCCACAAGACAATGCTCTGTTTACCATGATGTCTGTAGAGTGAGTGAGTGAGTGAGTGAGTCAAAATTCATGTCACATTGGCATTATTTCAGCCATGTAGCGACGAGAACAAGTTGATATGTCCACAAGTGAGTCATGAATGCAAAGTTATATTAAAAAACAAAATATCAAACATATTTAGGGATTTATACAGTTTAATAATGTCTGTAGAACGCAGCTTGGGAGACTCCTGTTATGATAATGCATTAGTGGTTAGAATTGTAGCATTCATTCAAGCCAGGAAGTATTTTATATGGGCCAATTTTGCGTGTAGAATCTTCCGCTGGGGATTCTGGGTTAGAATAGGTCCCCACCTAGTTTAGGGGCAACTAGTTGGCTCAGGTGGTCTGGCTCAGTGAACTTCGTTGATAGCTTGTCCTCATACCCCATAGGTTTGATCCTTCCTCACAGTATCATTCACTGGATTATCTGGTCCAGACACAATTATTTACAGTTCGCCATCATATAGCTGGAATATTGCTGAGTGCGGCTTTAAACAACAAACAGAACAAAAAGCATGTAGAATCTTGTATTGTTTGTTCTGCTTTTGGTATTGGTATTTGGTATTTCTTAAAACTGGCTTCTTTTTATAACAGTTCCAGGAATGCGCGACTCTCAACCTCATGACCCCTCCCCAGTGGTGCCGCAGCCTCCGCAGGCTCCATCGGCACCCCCAGCTCCTCCAGCCCCACCCGCTCCACCGGCTCCTCCACCAGCCCCATCTCCAGGAGGTGCACCAAGAGCACCCCCACCGCCAGGAGCAGGTGCCCCTCCACCCCCACCTCCACCACCACCAGCTTCCAATGCACCTTCATCATCTAATCAAGGCGGGCTAGCAGCAGCCTTGCAAGGAGCCAAACTGAAGAGAGTTGCAAAGGTAGGGTATTCACATTGTATCATGATTGGAATTGATAATCAGGGTCGGTTTATCTTTGTGAACAGGTACAAAGGTCTCCAAGCAAGTAAAGAGATTTAGAAAAGGATATACATGTAGCTCTAACGCCACTTTGTTTCTCTGCTCACTTTATGAAAATCAGTATACCGTATTCGACGTAATAAGCGCCGGGGGGGCTCTCAAAATTAGAAATAGGGGGGGCTTTTATTAGAATATTTATTTTGGTGAAAAAAACAGAGTTGAAAGATAAATTTTGTGGTTTATGCTGACAGCCTGAAATGTTTATGAACGACAGATATATTTTTCTAGAATTGAATTGCCCATAATTAAGGGTGCATAAAACACACGAGTGCGTATTGTATGCGAATAAATAAGTCTTGTGAACATTGATCAATCGGAAGGGGTGCTAATTGGGATTGTTCACTAGCCAATATATTAGCACATACCGCCACAGGCGCTTATTAGAGCGGGGCGCTTATTACGTCGAATACGGTAGTTGTTATTCCTCACCTTCATAGCCCAGAGACAATCTCAGTTTCACACCTGGTACTGATTACAACAGCTAGGCTTACAGGAGAAATGGGCTAAACACTGTAGATCCTTTCAACTACAATATATCAATTCCAAGAAAAATTGTATGGATACCACAGGAATCAAACTTTGCGATCAGTATAATGAAATTTTACGTTGTTTTTCTTACTATCAAACATCCCGCTCTCAATTTAAATTCGCACATTGAAATTTTATGTCATTTTTACATTCACTCACTCACTCACTCATGCAGTCAGTCGACAATACCATCAGTATCCTTAAGCATTAAGTTGGATCAACTTTGATGACCCCCTGCACTGTAGTGTCTGTCTGTGTATTGCAGCCTGAAGAGTCAAGTGGACCAGGCAGTGTGGGAGACAGCAGCGGGGGTATGGGCACATTGGGTCGTACCTCCGGTGGGGGAGGTGGTGGCAGCGGCGGCAGTGGTGGCGGCGGCATGGACAACATCATGAGTGAGATACAGAAGAAACTGGCACAGAGGAGAGCAAAGGCAGATAACTCTGGACAGGTACATATGCTGTTGTTTGACAAGTATTCATGTCACTGCAGCTCACTGCAGCTAATATTTTCACAGCAAGCACTTCACTGGTTATTTGTTTTGCCATTGGTTATTGATAGAGGAACTCTATACTGTTTACACTGATAGTTGCATCAGGATGTTGGATACTGGCCTATTAGCAGCATTTACAGTGGTGGGTAACCAGTGGTTATTGTGTATTGTGAAAACCTGAGATTTATTAAAGTATGCTGTATTCACAATAGTAAAGGCCCTTGATTTGTGAATGGGGATTCTATTCTATACTATTGTTGAGTTGTCAGAGATCCAGAAGTAGAGAACAGACAAATGTCAATGAAACTAAATGTTTTTCGAGAATTGTGACAAGGCAATTATATGACCTTTGTACACTGTTGCATTTTCTGTAAAAAGATCTGTCATATACATTAGAAAATACACACTGTCATGTAAATATTCAGGCTTGGTACGGGGCACTTCTAAAGATTGCTTACAGATAAATCTATATGTTTGTGAGGTTGTGCTTATTGATGTGGGACACTTAATACAGTGAATATTAAGGCTGTAACGATTCACCGATACTCAGCGATACTTAGTACAAACAATACTTGAATTGTCAATTTGTGAGATCGCAATACACTATTATAGAACAGGAACTAATAGAGTTACCTCCTATAAAGTAGCATAGCGCCACTTGTAAGCATTGCAGAACACAAGGATGTGGTAGCTGAGGACACGCCAGCTAACTGTTACGTTTTATAACCATCCCTTCATCTAAAACTGTTTTATTCTTACGGTTTTCTTTGTTAAAGTTTTTGTGATAACAATAAATAAATGTATGAAGAAGGAGGTTTTAGAGCTGTATTTCAGTGATTTCATCATTTCTTACTATTTGATGTGTTTCATGATACCAGCGGTATCGTTAGTCCGTATTGTGATACAAATCGTATAGCAAGATACCTGGCTCTACTCAGCTCTAGTGAATATGACAGCCCATTCTCGACCATTCAACATGCATGATAGAACCTGCCTTTCAATAAGTTCATGCATGATGTCACTGTTTCTTTGTAACAATTAACAATTCAGGACTATATTCTTCTCTGTCTTTTACACAAAAATGATGTTTATAACTGGCAAATAATCATTATGATGTAAGTTAGTATGTTTGTGATAAACCCAACATATCTGATGGTCTACACTGTGCAATGGCTGCCACACTAATAAACATATCATACACGAACAAAACAATCACTCTTTTCATTATAATGTGAATGTTTCCTTACTGTGATTCAGGATGATAGCAGTGCGGGGTCAGAGCCAGCAGCCACGCCCCCTGCCCCAGCCCCCGCAGGCGGGGACGCAGGGAGAAGACCATGGGAGAAAAATACAGCAGCACAAGGCAACGGGAAGTTTGTTAATGGATCCGGATCTCCTAAACCGCTCAGAAAGTAAGAGTCTCTTCCCATGTTACACATTTGATTCCTGGTGCTCAACCTCTTTGTGGCTATGCTCGGAGGGCTTACAATGTGTGACCAGGTTGATACTGTGGCATAGTATTCTGTTATCTTTGATCGTTGCTGATGTTGTCAACCTCATGTCTTCTGTCCAACGTTTTATTATTTACACACTGTTGTAATAGAGCGAGAATATTGTTCACTGGGGCATGAAACAACCTACTCTCTCTTACTCAGTTACTATTACTGTATTCGATGTAATAAGTGCCCCTCTCTAATAAGCGCCCACGGCTATATTTGCTAATATATTGGCTAGTGAACAATCCCAATTAGCACCCCTTCCGATCAATGTACACAAGACTTATATATTTGTGTATTATACGCACTTTTGTGTTACATGCACCCTTATGGGCAATTAAATTCTGGAAATTATATCTGCTGTGTATAATACGCACAGACTTTTCTTTTGTATCATTTCAGGCTGTCAGCATAAACCGCGAAATTTACAGTCTTTCAACTCTGTTTTTTTCAACAAATTTATATTATAATAAGAGCCCCCTATTTCTAATTTTGAGAGTGCCCTGGGCGCTTATTACGTTGAATACAGTAATCAACATTGTCTACCTGGGTTGATGGGACAGATAGTGGAAAACGCTTTCGCTTCAATTCCTTAAGGTACAATGTGTGAAAGCAATTCTTCGTTTAAGGGGCAATGGTCCCACAGTTTGCTGTGTTAAACGTTATTGTCATATTATAACAAACATTACTCATTGGTATTCGGATGAAGAATTTATGACTATATTTCTTTACTTTCAGACGCAATCCCTCCCTGACAGGTCAGGAGAACTTGAGTATGGCCGTGAATGGATCCTCTGGAGACTTGGAGTCCTTGAAACAGGAGATCTTAACTGAGATGAGAAAAGAGCTGCAAAACATGAAGAAGGAAATTATAGATGGTAATGGGAACTACTGTCCTTCATAAATTTGGGGGTTTGGGCTGGGGGCAGAGTTGCATCCCTTTGGTACGCCAGAGAACGTGGGTTTGAATCCTGGTTTGCCCCAATTATGTTTTAAGGTGTGTCAGCACCATTCCCATGCTCGTGGGTTTCACCCGTGGTAAATGTGCCACTTTGACCTGCATCACTTTGGGCTTTTCTCCTACATTAAACTGATACGCCGTCATAAAACTGGAATACTGTTCAAAGCGGCAGTAACTTCTATTGAATAGTAAATATGAAATTAGGATGTAGACAAGTGGTTCTCCCATTGGATCAACTCAGGATTTTGTATCATCTTGCTAAACCCCTTTGTTTCAGTAATCCGCCAAGAGATCGGACACAGATAAAGACTGTTACAGCAAGCGTGAATTGCTCATCATGTCATCAGTTTTTATGTCGTCAGTGTGGTGGACGACGCCCCCAGCGTACAGTGCTGACACAGAGCCAGGGAACATCTTCCAACATTGATCATCATCTCCTGTTCCATTAATACAACTACACACAGACTGTACACACGAATACACCACTCAGCTCATACACACAGGAATGCATACTCATGTCTTCATCCCAGCTGTAGCCTCATCAGATAATACTACTGGGTATGCTGCTATCATCTTAGACCAAATCAGAGATCACAAACCCGTCGACCATAACCAGTACTCCGCTTCGCCTTGTAGACGTGTGGCATCAGAAATACTCCACTGTTAGCAATAGGAATATTGATTGTAATCTGCATGTGAATATTGATTATGATCAGCATGTATCATTAGGGAAATGGGATCAAATATCCCAAGGATGTTTGCCCTGAATCTGTAAACTAACTTGTCTTAAGGGGAGATAATCTGTATATAAAAAGGCACCCCCAGTACAAGGAAACAATTCCAACAGAATATGAATTGTGTTAGTAATATAATAGGTTGCTGATATCACATGCTTCCTTGTTCCTTCTGTTAATAATAGTTCATGTTAATGTAATGTAGCCCACAGACTGATAGATCTTTGAGAAGTTTTAGAAAGCTGCACTCACACCTTTTGCTTTGCAACCATTAGCTGTCATAGATGAAATATAATTATATATATACGGAGTAAGTCTGGTAAAAACAGGTGAAACTTGTATTGTAAAAATATATTCTTAAATATTCAAGTGTGATGCATGGACTCTGATCAAAATGTAGAGTGTGAGTTGCCTCTGAGGGCAGTGTACATGCTACAGTTAGTCTAGCATTTAGAGGAGCTAGGAATGACAACAGAAGCTGGAGGAATGAGATCTGCAGATCAAGTGCAATGTAATCGGAGCAGCAGTGCATTGTGGAAACTGCCTCCGTTGATTGTCCTGTTGTTGTATTAATGGACCTGGGACACTGATAGTTTTGGTGACTGGCATAGTGTACTGTGTAGATGCGACCAGTCCGAACAAATGAAGCTTGATGCTTTGATAATGAACCAATGGAGAACTCTGCCAATTGTATAAATCTTTTCTATTTTAAGGTGTAATATTATCATGATCTTATTATGATTTCACTGCATGTCCTCCTTATGCTGGCATTATGTTCAATTCTGGGGGAGCAGGTTACAGGACTTGCTGTAGGAGAAGGTCATTGGTTGGTGTATTCACACAGGCTCACTTCATGATGTGACAATACTTAGAGCACCAATTTGCATGTAAGACCTACTCCTCACTCAACCTATTCAGTGTGTCATTGGGTGTTGGGCACAGGGGCCATGTTGTCTGAGGCATCAAATTCGCTATGCAGAGTTGCATCCCTTGGGCATGCCAGAAACGCGATCGTGGGTTCGAATCCCGGTTCCCCGATTATGTTTCTAGGTTTGTTAGCACAATATCCATACTTGGGGTTTTACCAAAGTGGAAAACGTCTGAGACCTGCACAAATTTGGGCTTTTTAAGCTGGCACTCCATGATATAACTGGAATACTGTTCAAAGTGGCTTAAACCAAATTCACCCAATCACTCAATATCATTGACATATTAATCACACCAGGTTATCATTCAGGGATAAGTTGATCAAACTTTAATCCTCAGCATTTATAGTTGTTATTTAATAGAAATTCATGTATTAATTTCCCTAATTAGACACTTTACTGTTTCTCGGTGTGTTTTTTCAGTGACTATTATGCTAAAAAGGGAAGTTCTGTTGACTGCTAAAACTTCAGGAGTACACACACAAAATCTGTGCAAGGCACAAGGCTGATATGGGTTTCATGTCCACAATGTTGACATTTGTCACTTATTTGTAAAGGGCATTTCTACATTGTGCAGTCAGGGAAGAAGGGTCCTGTAGTGTGTAGCATACTACAGATGGACATGATGTTAGCATAGGGAGGCCTTGTAGAGGTGTAGAAGTCAAATGAGGTGTGTTGCATCTCTCACTGATAGGACGACTCAACTCTCAGTCAATGTGGCGAAGGGCAGCTCGGATGCCATGACAACGCTGTAGTACCTTGATCAGACATCATCTTCTACAGATAATGTCAGCAATTTTTATAAATTGAATTAGTTTACCAAAGAAAATGTCCTTCAGTATCTGTTTAAGACAGACACAAATTCTTTATTTGATGGTTGAAAATTGAAAACTCGCTTGGAATGTACTTGGTGCGCAACAGAGACTGTGCACCAGTTTTTTATGTTATTTTGTGATACACTGCAAATTCATTATTAGTAATTTGTGTAATTGATAAGAATTGGGTAGAAATGATAATTGTCCAAAAATGGCCACTAGATCCAGCCTTGGCGTTTGAGCTGCCTCGAGTCCAACATACCTGCCTATATGATATGAGCATGTTGTATTGGTCAGTGTTTGATAATGACACCAAAGAATCTTCACATTCTTGATGGTTTAGAGTGTATGCTCATTTACTGTGTAAATACTGTTATTGATGTGGAACTTTCTCGCACTGTTTATCTTGCATCTAATGACTTTTCATGTAGTGGATGAATGACAAAGCTTGTATTATTCCCTATCCCTGTGCATGCCAATTGTATTCTAGCTGCTAGAAGCTACCCCTTTGCTCAGTACTTGATCTCAAGACAAACCATGGGCTGAGGCAACTCATGCTTGCTTTGGTGGTGTTTCATCAACAGGAAGAAATGATGTTGAAAATTTCAGTAATTGTTTCATGTAATTGGACTTTTCTTTTAAGGAAGTATGACTTATTCAGTTTTCATGAATCAGTGAATCTTTTATGATCAAACAATCTATATTTCTGTTTATGAAAATGAGATTTTCTTTGGACGTTTGTTTACTTGCTATCACTCCGTGTTCTTACTTTTAGGTTAAGGGGAGACTGGGCTCTGGAAAATTGGCACTCCTAGCCAGTTTGACTTGTGGTTAACCCTTTGTGTAAATCATATGATGAATATCAATCTGACATGAAATGAATACCCCAGTTACAAAGAGGCAGTGTCTTATTTTCACAGAAAGCATGGCAAAGTGTTGACCTGGGCTAAAGGGCACAATACCATGGACTGTGATTCCCTTTAAAATTTTATTGGTTTTCATTTAGCACAGCTCTCAGCAATATTCCAGCTATATGACAGCAGTCAGTCCATAACCTTGTCTGGACCAGACAATCTGCCTATTGAAAAATGGAGGTTATTTCCATTCACAATGACCATGTGCTTAGAGTGGCATAAAGCTATTATTTGATCATACAGAGTTACTTCCCTTGTACTGGACAGCCAGGTTTGTGTAAGGCACTTGTCATGATGTGCGGGTTTCCTCAGCCCTGGGGGACACGCCCATGAAAATCATACACATAATATAATTAACCCTTCCAGTGATAACACTGACACATCACAAGTAGGTGCTATGCTTGATACTAACAAAAAGCCTCTGATGGCTGAATAAATAATCAGTAACATTGCTCATGTAGTTTTAGTCAGTATTGAAAATGAAAGGCTCTTGCTGTTAAACTAATACTTTGACAAGCCATTTAAGTCCACAGTTATATGTGATTTGTAATTAGAAGCCCATCTCATCATCATCTTGTTATACAAATCAAAATTTCAGTCTATCAGTGTACATACATCTGTGTGTGTTTTGGCCTTTTCTGCTGAAATTTTGTCGATTGCCTCAATTTAAGGATAGCTTTTAACTGTGCATTTTTACTTCATTTCTATGAAAACAAAGAGAGAGCTGATTTTTCAAAGATTGTCTTTGCTAATTACGAGTCTTCCAGACCAGAAACAATCATTGATTTGAATGATTTATTGCAGCGTTGATATCACAAATAACTACCATTGTACATGTGACAGTTTTTTTGTCTGACAATTCAATATTGAGGAATATTGATACTTAACAAACAAATATTTTTGTTTTCATTCAAGATTTTCTAAATTTTTAAGAAAAATCATTATTGTATTGTGTATTTATGAATTTTTCAAAGGTTGCTCTCATGACTTCTGTTATTGGCCAGCGTTCCTCAAACCAATAATTCGGTTACTTAGAACTGTACACACTTCATATCTAGTAGCAAGTATTCGCAAATATTCTCGCTTTTAAGTCGCTTGGAGAAATTGTTTTAATTATTATCATGTCCGATAGAATTTGTAGTTTCACCAAAATGTTTATGAATTCATCCCTTTATCCTTGAAGATGTGTTTATTTACTGATTTCTTGTGATGTTTATGAATTTTTTTTGCACATAATTTTCCTTATCAATTTAAGTATCTGTTATGTATCCTGTAAATATTCACGACTATTTGATGACCGTGCCTGTGTTTATCGTTTTGCATGATTGATATTTAACGAACTGTAATAACTAATCAAACTGGATCTACATCCCATATTCTTCTTATTATTACAGATATTATGTTCATTATTATTTTTATTTATGTTATACATACCATATATGTTTCCAGTCAAGCCACTCCACTCATTATGCAACAGTAAGCTGGGAGATTGCAAGGGAGACAACCAAGTCTCATTAACTTAATGCTGGCCTCTGTGCTTGATACTTACTGTCACCTTTCCTGTTCCCATGCTGTCACTGTAGCCGGTATTCTGCCCAATACTTGCGTAGTAGGCAGTGATTGTAATTATGCCATAGGAACTCAGTTTGCATTTGGTGCCTATAGCTCCTATTAAAGTTTAGATTTGAGGGCATGTCCTACATCAGTTTTAAATGTTGGACAATTGTATTACACTTTAATCAGCTTCACATTTTGACAGAGGAGAGTGTTTTATGTCCATAAGAAATTACATCCTCTTGCAGTGTGTCGAGCTGAATGAATAGTAGTTATAGTGTTGACGCCCTGCACCGACGACACAAGATTCCTCATGTGGAGATAATTGGGTGATGCCCATTCCTGGAGTCCTTAAAGTAATATGGAAAGACTATTGCGTAATTCCGCGTCAAACTATCACCCGTCATGATCATATATACTCCATGTACACCTATCTACTTATTTAGATATGCCCCTTAATGTGTCAAATGTGGTATTTAATAGTCAGTTTCTTTCATTTCAACTTCAAAGTTCATAGACTTTCTTTTTGAATTGATTTCCAATTAATAGATCTGGCTATGCCTTGAAGACTGAACTTTATTAAACTATCACAGATATCTCAACAATGTGTTCAGCTTAAGACTTTTTTGTTCTCAAATGTATGAGTAAGTGAGAGTGTCAAGGAAGGTCAGTTGATTCAGTGATTCAGAGAAAGATTTCCATAATCCTAATGCTATAGTGAAGAAATCTGGAAAAACTTGAGGGAAGCATACATTTGTCTCAAATCGTGGTAAAAACCCACTAACTCAACAGGTTGATTTCTTCATGTGTGTCAGAAGGAAATTCAATACTTAAGATTTCATTTGTCATAAAATCCCCTTTTATGTTTGAAAAAATTCTGGGCACAGCGAATGTTTGGGACCGAATCTGCTTTATTCTACTCAAAAGAAGACGTTAAGGATAATCCAGTTCTTTCATATTGCTATAGTACTATAGCAATCTCATTAAAATCAGATCTTAGTTTTCACTACTGCCAAACAAAGATCTGAGGACATCCCATTACGGGTCACGTCCTTTCGCGAACTTTGACCGACCAATGAAATGTCTGACAAGAAATCGACATTAGCCAATTAGAAGGCAGCTTTCTCGAGCTTTACGAAACTGGTTTCAAAATGGCGATTTTCGAAACATTTTGACGAATTCTCGATTAAAATTTTTATAACTCATCAAAAGAACATTCTGGAATGGCTTACAGATGACCTAGTTTGTATGGATATAATCTTTAAACCCCTAACTGTTGTTCGGAATACCCTCTGTTTAATATTTCGAGGTTGCATGATCAAAAAACACATTCCGACTGTCACTTTCATGATCTGGTAAGCGACGCTCTGATTGGTTGGATGAAAGGTAGTTCCAACGTGACCCGTAATGGGATGTCCTCAGATCTTTGTTTAGCCATAGCGAGAACTAAGATCTGATTTAAATGAGATTGGTACTATAGTAATATGAAAGAATCGGGTGATCCTTCAATTTCTTTTGAGTTGTATATTCAAATCCCATTTTATCTCATTATGCAAGTATTATCAGGTGGACAAAACAATATGCTCAATTCTCCTTCACTCAGTATTTTATTGTAACTGAGGAGTTGTGTGTCAAAATTCATTTCGGCTGAAAAGAAATACATACAAAACATCAAAATCCCATTCTTCCATCAGATTGATAGTTTCAATACATGAACATACTTTTGATATTCTTTCACTGTTCGAGTCTTTATGGGATAACTTGATGTGTTTTGGGTAGGTCATGAGATATGCCATACTGATAATTGTACATACTTGTGTGTATATTTCATTACCTCATAATATAAATACAAAATATAGTAAAGTGTGTGTCTTGTCCTTTGAGATGAGGGGTAGTTGGTCACCAAATGATTGGTCATTAGATGTGTTTTGAGCAAATAGAAATGGTCAAAATCCCATCTGAAAAGCTGTGTCTGTATTTAGATTTCTGTTTTAATAAGAGAAGACTACAACTTGTTTTGTTTTTCTGTTAATGGTCTTGTTAGACAACAGTAGATAAGTTGTAGCATTTTTTTCTACCCTTTTGCAAAGCAGAAGAAATGTCTTCATAAGATCTAATTTCCTTGTTAATTTGCAGACAAGTAATGTTAAAGGTTATGGAATGAGACAAGAAGTGGGTAAGAATGGTCATTGCTTACAAAATGGATTTAAGGGGTTTTGAAAGAAAATGGACAGGGAGGAAAATTATGAATTTATTCCGGCCAAAAATGTAACAATTTGGAGTTTTCGTTTGATAGTTCTTTTTTTCCGTTTGCAACAAACAGTAACTGCTCAGAGAGCTTGCCAAGCTTCATGGCAGATTTTGCGTCAAGGCCAGTATCGATTATTTAGCATTATATTCATCTGATTTATGTACATGTTATTATATCCATAATTCAAACCAACGCCCACTTCCATAAGTGCTAATACACATACCATAATACTTCCTATAGTCAATGAGACTAACACTACTGAATTGTAATTGGCTAGTGGTCTCAGCGCTGATTGTTGGAAGATCACTGACAAGCGACAAGTTAAGTTGCCACTACATAAGATCAAGACAAATGAAGACCTATTTCTGTACTGCAAGTGTTTTATTACCACTGTAGGGGATCCTTTGAGGGTGAGAGGGTTGTTCAAAATGCTCGTCATTCGACTTTGATCTGGAGAAGCACATGGAATTGCCATAGATTAGAGAAGTCAAATTTGTCTGTTCATTCTCGACTTCTAGACATCTAGGACTGTTCTATAGCCAGTATGACTGCTAAGTGTTAGTATAACCTCGAAGCATGTTAAAGCCATTACTCTCACCAATAATTGTGAATTTTGTATTAACCCCTGTATCAGAGGGTTGCTGCTGCTAGTTGTAGGGTAATACATATTCTCTGCATGGCATCACTGCTGGTCTTTGATAATCCAATATACATGATTAAAGCTCATTGTATTCAGTGTATAAGGTTTTACAACAGAGTAATGTCTACTGCTGAACACTGATATGTCCCATATCTCAAGGAGTCTAATGTCAGGAATTTCAACAACAAAACTAAAATGTATGTGTGGTTAGATCGGTGGAAGTTCCATACATACGAGGATATGTCTTGTGGTTAACCAATCTTCATTTACAACAATTCCATAGCAACAGTGATAGCATCATGTTTTGATATTTATTTATGAATTTATTTTATCAAGTTTTTCGCTTTGGCTAATTGAAGACAATTGACCGGAGGCCAAAACTATTCACATTAGTATTACACAAAGCTGTGACTTCTGGATGCTGCATCCTTCTGATGTTAATGCAGTTTGGTTATGTGAGTCATGTTATCATTCCAGTCCACAAGGAGGCACACAGTTGCCTCCCTTGGTTCAAGGACAAAAGAATGTAATTGCTTGAGACGAGTCACTTAATATACAGTGCTTTTGCTGAAAATGTTAAAGGATGTGTGGTTTCTCTATCATCATAAATAATGTGGGTTTTAACTGAAGGAACTTATATACACTGGATTCTGCAGTTACTCAGAATTACACAATCGAATGCCAGTTTTCCTATAACTTGCAATGTTGATTTTGTGATACCAGCTAGTATCTACCATAAACTCATCATCACAGACACTAAGCGCTGGTCAGTGTTTTCAGTTAAGACCCAGATGAATTTGTGGTATAAAGGTGTACAAAGAATAGCCTTGCTACTTTTAGCCTTTGGTTCCTGGTATTTCTAAACTATATTTCCTAGACTACTGTATATTTTATAAGGAGGACATGATTTTGGAATGCTAACTTTATGAACATTGTCTTTAATGAACCAATTTTCGAGACAGTTCATTTCTGTGGATTTTTGTTTGTTTTTGTGTGTATGTTTCATTGTTTACACTGCTTTTTATTAAGATGATTGTATTTGTATTTAACCATCATCGAAAAATAAAATGTAGCATCTTTTGTTTTTGTTTTTGCTTCAATGTGAAATGAGAAGGATCTTAAGTCGGAAGATCCTTATTGAAAAGGTCCATGTTTGGATCAGTTGATGGAGATAAAGGCCTGGAAAGTATGGTAATACCAGTATCTTTACTATTTCTCTATTGTATGTATTGTATTGTATCCATGTGTGTGGGTGATGGTGAAATGGGGTTTAACGTCACGTCCAAGACTATTGCACTTCTATAGCAACGTGCATGTACGTGTGTGTGTTTGTGTAGCTGCTTGTACTAGTCCGGACTGATGCCAATTATTAGTGCTAGCTCACTGAGATACCATGCCGCAGTTTAACATGAATATCCCACTCAGACACAGTATACTGACTCCGAGCCAACCAGTCCTTGTTTTAGCCCCTTAATGCCGAGCGCCAGGCAGGGTAACAACAAGTACCATCTTTTAACGTCTTTTGGTATGACGCGGTCGGGGATCGAACCCCGGACCTTCCGCTCTCCGGGTGGACGCTCTACCACTAGACCACGGAGGCGGTCTGATTTTGAAAGGAAACATCACTGGACAGCATCACATTGACCACGGAGCCGGTCCCATGTGTGTGGGAATTCCGTGGGGCAGAATAGTATATGCTTCTTGTAAGAGCCAACTCACAGGTGCTTACTACGAGCTCACTTTACTGATCTACAAATGGGGTATGAAATGCTTCTCATTGTCTTGTCAGAACCATAATGCTCCTTCCGCCCAGCCCTTTCTGTAATGCTGTAGCCCTTAGTAAAGCAAGTCTAGATTTTCCACAAGTTCAGGTTCTGAATCTTCCATCTCATTGGGGTTCCTTTTCAGTTTCTAGCAAAATGTCAAAGACTAAGCGTTATATGCTTGTACTGGCACACCCATAAGTGTCTTGCATCTGGGGTTTGTTTTGGAGCAGATCAAGTACCCATTTCCATGGTAAGTAGAATATCGGGACTACTTGTACTGTTGTACTGGTTCATCAAGGGTTCCATGAGCTGTAATGACGCTTACTGACAGTTTCTTGTCCAGGTGGCACACGGGCTAAAGTACTGCAATTTGCTGTGTCAGGAGGATCTGTTAGTCCCTGGTTTGAATCCATGATCCCTCCAGATGGTTTATCTGACCATTTGTCGGCACCGTGTGGTTTTCACCAAATTTACAAACCTGTACACCTTTCATTCAGGCTTTGCACCAACATTAAGCTGGTAGGAGACGCATTGGAGAACAGGCCTGTAATCTAACTCAAGCACTCACAACTATATGTTTAAGTGTTCAACACACTATCATATATGCGAACACACTCCCAGTTCAAAATATGAACTAAATTTTTAACTAAATGACCCAAGGACAGATATTCTCAAAACTACACTCAGGAACAGGGATCTAGAGAAATTGCAGACTAGAAGTTAAGTTCATCATCACCCAAAGACCTGACTTCCTGTACAATATGTAAAGTCCTATGAGTGGAATGTTACAAAAGCAGCTCACACCTTCACTCTTGTATTTACTGTTCAAGGGGTCTTAACCTAAAGATCACCGCTGTGGTCAAGTGGATAGAGCCTCTGCCGAAGAGCGGAAGGTCAGTTGTTCGAACCTCTGGCTGTGTAATACCAAAGAAGTTAAAAGATGGTACTTGTTACCCAGCCTGGCGATTGTCATTAGCAGATAAAACAAGGACTAGTCGACGCGTAGTATGTATAGTGTGTCTTGAGTGGGGTATCCATGTCAAACTGCGGCATTGTATCTTAGTGGGGTAGCACAATAACAACAGCATAAACTTATTTAGTGCAAGGAAAAACTTGATCAAAAGGGCCTTTGTTATGAAACGTGGTGACCTCGGATACAGTTACGTATCTATATTCAGAGGTTCGGGACAATTTGTAATAGAATGAAGCAAAGGCCATCTGAAGTTTACTGACAAAGAAATGGTGAAATACTGAACTTCCTCATTGATAACATCTACGTAAATATGGGGGTAAGACATTTAGGCAAGAAGTAGGCATCCCCATGGGCAGGCACCAATTGTACACCCCTTCTTCTGGATCTGTTCTTAATGCATATCAAAACAAGGTAATTTGTCCAAGAAGTTCAACTTAATGATGATCTGTTATCGTACAAGTAGCCATTTCCCTCCCACTGTTTACCCACCTGAACGAGAAATAAAGGAGACCAGTGAGACTGTTTCAACTGTATCAGTTTTCGATCTATAAAGATTCGGTGTGACAAAACACTCTCCACAAGATTGTATGACAAGAGGGATGACTTCAACTTTCCAATAGTCAACTTTCCCTTTATGTCGAGCGATATTCCAGCAGCCCCAGTCTTTGGTGTCTACATTTCACAACTTTTGAGATACAACCGAGGATGCTCTTACTACCAAGATTTCAAAGTGCGTCATACGGCACTTGCTCAGAAGTTGTTTAATCAAGGTTACAACATTCAAGGCCTTAGTAAAGCTTTTAAAAATGTTTATGGTAGACATGTGGAGGACATGCCCAAATTTGACGCATCAGTGGCAAAAATAATGTCCGATGCAATTCCCTATTTTGACATATATTCCCGTGTGGTTTTTTTCAGGTGAAAAAATGATTTGCTATTGCATTTGTTGACGAGTGCCACCGATGGGGCAAGATACGCTCACCTTTTCGCGAACCACTGGTATCATCACTAGTTGATAGTGATTCATAAACACATGCTCATGATACAGTCGGAATGGCACAATTGACTGCTTTATGCAGAGATTTCTATTGGATACAGAAATTCTTTTGTCGCTTTTACACCTTATCCCACCAATACACAAAAGTTCATGTCAAATAAAACTTAACATATTTTAGATATACACATTTTGTTTTACGCTTATTTCGAACTATCCACTTCTCTAAACCTGAATACCCCAAGCTGTATATATGTTCAAGTAATTCAATGTATACCGGCAGTTAAGTGTTTGACGAAGGTTAGCCCGTTAAATGTAGTAATGCTTGTCACACTGTTTTATTTGGCCTACACTGATAAGGCGATACAATTATCATCATATTTGTCTCACCGATATTTTGCTATTGTGTATACCGTAATACCTGTAAATAGTATAACCTTCTTCACAGTAGGGGCGCTCGGGTAGCCTAGTGGTTAAAGCGTACGCTCGTCACGCCGAAGACCCTGGTTCGATTCCCGACATGGGTACAATGTGTGAAGCCATTTCTGGTGTCCCCCGCCGTCACATTGCTGGAATATTGCTAACAGCGGCGGCGTAAAACCAAAACTCACTCACTCACTCTTCACAGTACACATGCCCCAAGGGCAGCCGCTGCCATGCACAATATTCCCTAGTGACGTCATCCTATTGTTTTTACGGAGACCTGCTTTCGTAGAATAACCTCTTACAAGGACTTCCTACAGACTATTTCTGCCCAGGGATATTCTACAGAAAAGTCCCGGGTCGTCCAGAGGTTAACATTAATAGGGATCTGACATGTTTTGAATGGCCCCAGTTTGAGATCTATTTTGCTGTTGAACACAATCTACACAACACACATAACAATGCTAATGGAATGTGAGGAAATGTTTCTTACATTCCAGTGGGGTCGGACCTGAAACTTGCGTACTTGTATCCTACTGAGCCACCAGGCTTTAGAGGAGCTGGTAAATCAGAATGCTTTTAAATATCTCCATTTCATGTACACGAACGCCATCAAGATGTATATTATGCCCGTTACCTTAATGAAATGAGTTGGAAACATAAAATTGTTAATAAATGTTGTTTCAGATTTTTCGTTCGGTTTATAAGTCAGATGAAATACCCTCCCTCAGGATTGGCTGAGAATCTAAACATTCTGGGCAGGAAAAACCCGCGGGCCGAAGGAACTTGAGTTTTCCCCTCCCAATAGTTTTCACATTCTCAACCGGTGTTAACCCACAAAAATAAAATGATGGTGGGCTCCATCTAAAAAAGCGTATTTAATGTTACGACAGTGGTAACTCCATATTTGGGCAGGGGACTCTGCTTGTCGTAAAAGGCGACTAACGTGGATCGGGTGATCAGGCTCGCTGACTTGGTTGATGCATGTCATCGATCCAAATTGCGTGGATCGACGCTCATGATATCAATCACTGGATTGTCTGGTCCAGACTCGATTATTTACAGACCGCTGTCATATAGCTGGAATATTGCCGAGTGCGTTAAACAACAAACCAACCAACCAACCATATTTGGGCCATATTTACGACAGTCTTAACCCTAGGATTGCTTTGTGGAACGAGACCCAGTGTCCAGACATTCCTGGTTTGCGAGTCCTGCCAGAACCCTGTCTGGGGCCCGTCACATCGCTGGGCGTGTCCCCGACTGTCCTCCCACTCCCTTATTGGAAACATTTGATAAACGCCGTGATGTTATCTACAGTAAACAGACACACTGAGCTACGACACACTGACACACCGTATTCACGTCGCCACAGATCTAATGCCCGTACTGTCAATACACAATGTCAGCTATAGATTGGCTTTGTTGTCGACCTTGCGATTATCGTCACGGAATTTCAACCCAAAGGTCAGGCTAAGATATACTCTTGAAAAAAAGAAACGCAAAACCGACAATTTGGGCCATAAAAGCGGACGTTAGCGGACCAGGAGGTGCAAAATGAAGAGGTTTAATGTGTTATAGTGTCAGTGACAAATTTCTCGGATCAGAATGATAACAACAATGTCATGCAAACCATTAGTCGGGAAACACGTACGATTCGGAAAACGCACCCAGTGCATTAACAAAAGGGCAATGGAGCTGCACGTACTGTACGTGCAGCAGCACTGTGAACGGTATGAAAGTGCAGGGTTTTTGATTGCCTGGCATCTGCGTCAATCGAACAGTGACAGTTCAACAACATGCCAAGTGCAAAGAAACAGCGTCATAGGCCGCTTGGTTTGATAGGTTTGGTGTGGTAGCGTTATGATGTGGGCGGTTATCTCTCGTCATGGCAGGACAGGTTTGATCGCCGTGAGGATTGTGAGAATATGCGGGAAAACCCCACCCGTGCATACAATGGACTTGTCCGATATTGCCGAGGTCGAATTCTGTTGAGGGAGTCATCATTATTTAAATACGGGTACCGGTATTTATTTTTAAAGCTTGTACATTTCATCATCATCCTTAAAGTGGCTGTACATAATGTTGATATCTCATATAAGAAATAAACGACTCGTGGTCGTTGTTTATCGTGCAATAAAACACTACAGGGAGAATAAACCATGAGGGGCCTCTCGTGGTTCATTCTCCCTGCAGTATTTTATTCCCCGAGTGGTTTATTCTCCCACTGCTATTTTATTGTACGATAAACAACTCCCACGAGTCGTTTTTTAATGAACATATCGCAATGATATATGTTATCACTGATGACGTCGCATAGACATATGTTGTCACTGATGACGTCGTTCAGACACATGTTGTCACTGATGACGTCGTTAAGACATATGTTGTCACTGGAGACGTATTAGTGTAGGCAGTCGCCAGTCAGAGGATCTAACCCCTTCTACATCAGCTGCATAATTTGACATCTTAAATTCCTTTCAAATTCCTCAATTCACTGAACTGTGTGACTTTCTCTTATACTTCTGTTTCGGGAAGAACGGGTTAACCTAATGGTGAAAGCGTCCTTTTTCGTCATGTTGAAGTTATTATTCTTACAATGGATTATCCCTTCTCCTAGTTCCAATATCAAACATATCCACTCTGATCCCGGGAGATTCTGTTTACTGACGGTTACAGTTTGTGCATTTACGATAACTACGGTTGTTTTTTAGGAGTTACGTTGTGGAAAGATTATCAGGGCCTCGCACGTGTGTCTGTGGGGAAGTCAAGTATCCCCGCACTTTGGGATACATCGTATAGTAACCAAGAAGACCATAGGGTTTATTTCTAAATCAATAAATGCTCCCCTCCTCAAAATATCTCAAAAGTGGATGAGGGTTATTTTTTTCGAAACATGCTTTGTTTCTTTTCGACTACTTTGTTAGCTGACGTCCGTAATAATTTTCAACCTCAGATATGGATAACACGAAATAATAATCATAGACAGACAGCTTATATTCTAATTTATTACACGATTAGAAGATAAAAACAAACAAATTAGCCAATACCCTACCACATAAATTGTATATCCCAAAGTTTAATGTTAATATCAAACAACCATTACTCTTTAAACGCTTTCGTTGATAATAAATCAGTTCCCATTTGCTTACCAAGGGGCATCCTGCACATACGTGTAAACAAACCTGAGATAAGACGCCAAAAACACAAGGTCCAAGACCACACCCTTGCTGTACATCACTGTTTAAAAATGTCTATTTGAACAGGGTCAATGAGAGTGACTATAGAACCACCTACTACATCAGAACGAGGCGACCAGTGTTATATCATTTTCCGGAATACCTGGTGCCAATAAATTAAGGCGTGGGGTGTCGGGTGGTATTAAAGCTTGTGTTGCCCTGGACATTCAAACACAATATAGCCACGGCCATGCCCCCACCACTGTGGGTACTCCTAGTGGGATTATCCATTTCGCAAGGTAAGATCAATTATTTTATGACAAAGTCGACACAATTTATGGATAACAACTTCTTTTTTTTACTGTAAAAGCGACTGTTCAGTATAGATCCTTATACTGTTGTCAAGCAAGGCTGTTTGTAACTTATGTCCGTTTCATTTTTTTCTTGATATATCTATATGGCTAAATTTATTTTTAAATGGATGAGTTTTTGGTATAATTTACATGTATGGATTTCTGGTTGAACCTAGATGGAAAATAATCTTCAAGCGGGTTTTGAAGCGGTTGTCTTCCAAACCTAGTTTTTTAAAATGGTTCACTTCTAAACCTTTCATGTTTTTCACTTCTATTGTAACACCTAGGTTTTACAATTGACGCTTTTTTAAACTGGCCTATTGATATGAATATAAAGTTGATTTTATATCTTTTACGTGACTCGGACCTGCGACATCGGAAATCGTGTGCAGGCTCGTAACCTACTGTTTTCCCACAGAGTCACGTGGGGCAGGTGATGAAATGTTGTTCAATTTTACATGTCATGAATCCAGATGGTCCATGCTGCCCATGACTTATTTTATCTAATAATATATATCTACAAAATAAAATAATGAATACAATCCAAATGGAGCGCAGGACAATACTGAATCCTTGAGCTGAACAATCTAGACTTGCCTAGCCACTCTAGACTTGAGTTGGACTGTTATTTAATTTATTCTCTTGGGTCGGGAGACATAACAATAATAAGCACAATGTGAGAAGCAAAACTTCTTTGATGAACCGTGAAGATCCGGGATAGAATGGATCTTCAGCAACCCATGCTTGTCGTAAAAGGCGTCTAATGGGATCGGGTGGTCAGGCTCGCTGACTTGGTTGAGGCATGTCATCGTATCCCAATTGCTCAAAACTGATATTCGGGATTATTAAGGGGATAAGGGCTGGATGATTAAAGTCTGTTCCTGACAGGCTTAGAAGGGGGAGGTAGCATTTTAACAGTTGAATTTTGAATGAACACCTATCACGAAGAAATGTTTTGATGACGAATCAATTTGTGATGTTGTTAGTGCATATATCGTGAATGATCATCAACTGTATCTGTTGTTTACCCCCTGCTATAGAAACTGGACGCTCTTCTAAACCACCAACCCTACTATGTGATAGAATTAGTAAATATTGTTTTAATGCTTTAAATTTCCACACTGTTGAAGATGAAAAGCACTTTCTTATATGTTGTCCTTTTTATGAAGATTTAAGATATGAATTATTTTATGGAGCTTCAAATGTATCCCAGAGTTTTTATACCCTTGATGATATGCATAAGTTATGTTTTACATTGAAATCGGACGACGAACAGTATTGTTTATCTAAGACTCTTTTCGTAATGTATAAACGATTATTATCTTTTATATGAATTGTTTTTAACAATACTTATATACTGCTGAAATTGTTATAGCTTCATACTTTCTATGAATTATGTTTTCATCGTGTCTCATAAGCCTAATGGCTAGTTATTCTCTCTCTCTCTCTCTCTGAAATTTGTATAAAAGTATGTGACAGGGTGTGAGGATTTCTTCCTCAATCCACAGGGTTCTTTCAGGAGAAAACGATTTGGATAGTTGAATCTGTAACATAACAACGTCCTAGCTTATTACGGTATCTCCAAATGTGCCCTCATGGATACTTTGTAATGCTACTATTCCACACAGAGCACGAATCCCACGAATCGCCACGATTTGTAAATTGTAGGATTCGTGGAATTTAGCAAATATTCTGGTTCAATTCGTGACGCTCTACGATCTAGTTACGATACAGGTACGATAGAGTTACGAATATTCGTGGGATTCGGCTGGATTCGCATGGCTATTGTCAAGAATTCACTACGATTTACAAGACGCTATTACGTGAGTGAGTGAGTTTGGATTTACGCCGCTTTTAGCAATATTCCAGCAATATCACGGCGGGGGACACCAGAAATGGGCTTCACACACTGTACCCATGTCGGGATTCGAACCCGGGTCCTCGGCGTGACGAGCGAACGCTTTAACCACTAGGCTACCCGACCGCCTCAGACGCTATTACGAATACTGCACGAAAGTTAGGAATCAGTTAAGAATACGCCGAATGCATGTACGAATCAGGTACGAATAAAAATGAATTCGTGACTATTCTTGACAATTTTTGGGGTATTCCCTCAAGATAGCTATAAAAAGCCCCCAACCATGCATGGGCATCAGCTTCAAAATGGATGTCCAACGTAGAGCATCTTGCTGAATCGTGAATTTCGTGTTATAATGGCACAATCGTCAGCACATGACCTGAAATCAATGTTAATTTCCTTATATACCCAATTTGCCGGCAATCGTAGCTGATTCGTGATTGGATCGTGAGCTTCGTACCTGCTTCGGTGTGTATTCGTGGGATTCGTGACAGATTCGTAGCCGATCCGTCGTAAAGCCACGAATCCCCGAATGAGTTAAGAATACCTACGAATGCCTACGAATTTGTTAGGAATTAACTCCGATATTTTCGAATCGGGAGTTCGTGGCCAAAACTTTGAACAGCTCAAAACTTTTGCACGGATTCCCGCTAGCTCAAGAATTGTCAGAACTAACTACGAATATATGCGAATCAGTTAAGAATTTCACGAAAATTTATCAATTCGTGGGATTCGTGGTCTCTGTGGAATAGTAGCATTACAACGCTATCCAACTTGTTCTTCAGTATTACACGTGGAGGCCGCCCCGCTCTCCCCTCTCACGTGCTACACGTGCGATGACCCTGATGACCCCGACGACTGCGTATTTGATGAAGTCACGTGCGAGCCGGACGAGGTATGTTTCATTAAAAAAAGGAATCTCCTTGAATCAAATACTGGTTGTCCTGCTGTGTGTTTATACAAAACAGTGTCGTTATCATACAACATTACAGGGCCATAGAGACGGGAATCTGCAGAAATCAAACGCAGATTGACCTGAAGTGTGTATATTACATATAACAGTGCAGTCATCATGACCTGAAGTGTGTATAGTATATATAACTATGTAGTCATCATGAACTGCAGTGTGTATATCGTATATAACTGTGTTGTCGTCATAACCTGCAGTAGGTACATTATATAGATCAGCGTAGTCATCATGACCTGCAGTGTGTATATTATATATAACAGTGAAGCCATCATGACCTGCAGTGTGTATATTATATATAACAGTGTAGCCATCATGACCTGCAGCATGTACATTATATAGAACAGTGTAGTCATCATGACCTGCAGTGTGTATATTATATATAACAGTGTAGTCATCATGACCTGCAGTATGTACATTATATAGAACAGTGTAGCCATCATGACCTGCAGTATGTACATTATATAGAACAGTGTAGTCATCATGACCTGCAGTGTGTATATTATATAGAACAGTGTAGTCATCATGACCTGCAGTGTGTATATTATATATAACAGTGTAGCCATCATGACCTGCAGCATGTACATTATATAGAACAGTGTAGTCATCATGACCTGCAGTGTGTATATTATATATAACAGTGTAGTCATCATGACCTGCAGTATGTACATTATATAGAACAGTGTAGCCATCATGACCTGCAGTATGTACATTATATAGAACAGTGTAGTCATCATGACCTGCAGTGTGCCTATTATATATAACAGTGTAGCCATTATGACCTGCAGTGTGTATATTATATATAGCAGTGTAGCCATCATGACCTGCAGTGTGTATATCGTATATAACTGTGTTGTCGTCATAACCTGCAGTAGGTACATTATATAGAACAGCGTAGTCATCATGACCTGCAGTGTGTATATTATATATAACAGTGAAGCCATCATGACCTGCAGTGTGTATATTATATATAACAGTGTAGCCATCATGACCTGCAGTATGTACATTATATAGAACTGTGTAGTCACCATGACCTGAAGTGTGTATGTTATAGATAACCATGTAGCCATCATTACCTGCAGTGTGTATATCGTATATAGCTGTGTTATCATGACCTGCAGTGTGTATTTCATACATAACTGTGACGTCATCATACAAAGTGTGTTGTCATCATGACCTGCAGTGTGTATATTATATATAGCTATGAAGCTATCATGACCCGCAGTATGTATATTATATATAACTATGTTGTTATCATGACCTACAGTGTGTATATCATATTTGACTGTGTTGTCGTCATTACCTGTTGTTTGTATATTATATATAATAGTGTAGTCATGCTGAACTACAGTGTGTATATCGTATATAACTATGTTGTTATCATGACCTGCAGTGTGTATATCATATTTGACTGTGTTGTCGTCATGACCTGTTGTGTGTATATTATATATAACATGGAAGCATGTTTTATAAAACTACTTTTTTTCTAAGTATGATGATAATTTGTCAGCAATCATAGTGGCATATTTCAGACAAAGGAAGATAATTCTGTCATGATGAAGAATTGTTATAAACTGCCGGGCGCAAAAGGTATACACCCATGTAGCTAAAAATAAAACAGACAAGAAGTGGTCAATCGATGGTGACGTAATTTATATTTATCATGGTTGTGTTTGGGATCTGAAGTTTTCAGTGTTTCGGCGACTGTTTCCAGCCAAGCCAAGTTCTTTTGCCGGGCACTTTAACCGTTCATGGCCTGTAGTTGTTTGTTATTTAACGCCGCACTGAGCAATATTCCAGCTATATGACAGCGGTTTGTAAATAATAGAGTCTCGACCAGACAATCCAGTGATTGATATCATGAGCATCAATCCATCCAATTGGGATCGATGACATGCATCAACCAAATCAGTGAGTCTGACCACCTGATCCCGTTTGTCGCTTCTTACGATCACAGTCACCTGTTTTGTCAAGCATGGGTTGCTGAAGACCTATCTGACCTTCAAAGGTATAATGGCCTTTATGTATTCCTAGAACAACAGTACTGATATAATAGTTTCAAAATAAAGGATATGATAGATTAGCCGAAGTTGGTCATGGAATGTAACTTCTTTATAGTACATGTACTTATGTTTCATAGTTTGTTTGTTTGTTTGTTTGTTTGCTTTACTTTTGTAAACACTTGTATGGTTGTGTTGATGCCAGGTGTGCTACTCCGTGCTGAGAAAGGACAGAGGACATCTTCATCACCACCTAGGATGCATGAAACAAGAGGTGAGATAGAGAAGGGTTTTTCACCACCTAGTCAGTGCTATTTTTTCTAATACAGTTAAATAAGTTTTCAATCAAACTAATTTGATGTACGTAGCTATAGATGGTTTGGGGACTGAGCGATAATGATACTTAGGTATTACTGATGTAATTGGGCATCGGACCTTAGGGGATATTTTTGTGTGAATAAAAAACTCAGCCTCCATCTGCTTGAAAAAAATCTCGATTTATGGACATCTGCTTCTTTGCCATCAAGACAAGGGCATGATAGACAGTATGCCTGTAACACTTATTTATTAATATTCATTTCAAATCTTCCATTTCAAGATGCTATATCATGCACGCCACGTGTAGTATCCTCTTTGACCACTTTGACTCCCCCCTGTGATATGACTGAAACAGATGACTGTGATGTGAAATGCCCATTTAGCATCATTTACCCTTACTTGGGAAAAAATACAACATAAACATTCTTTTAGTGTCAAAAGTCAGAATCATTTATCAACATCATTTACAAGTTATGCCATGAATGAGAACGGAAAAGAAGGTATTGTGTCCACAGTTTGGAGGACGGGGTCAGTTGTTCAGTACTCGTCAAACATCAAGACTGAAATCAGCACATGAAGTTCCTTTAATTCTTGAGAGGGGCGGTCGGGTAGCCTAGTGGATAAAGCGTTTGTTTCGTCACGCCGAAGACCCGGGTTCCTTTCCCGACATGGGTACAATGTCTGAACCCAAATTCTGGTGTCCCCCGCCGTGATATTGCTGGAATATTGCTAAAAGCGGCGTAAAACCATACTCACTCACTTTAATTCTTGAGAATGTCACACCTGTCAGAAAGTATTGTGTATGCCTACCACGGGAATCAATGCACGCCACAACTCGACCATGAGAAGATGTGATACGTCTGATCACAAGAAATGTGATTCTACACCACTCTTGTCAGAGAACCTGTGGTACCTGATCCTTGTTATAAGAACGAACTGGTTGTGCTCTGATTTGTCAGTCAAGGTGACTTCACAAGATGTCTTTTGTGATAAGTCTGGTTGTGATTGTGCTGACCAAGGCAAGACGTTGTATGGGGTCTTGTGTTGTCTCTTTGAAACAGAGTCCTGTCCAGGACCCACTTGCACAAAGTGATCTTAGCGCTAAGATGATTGTAACTCTCATACTTTAACATAGGCTTACAATAGTCTTAGCGCTAAGATCGCTTTGTGCAAGTTGGCCCTGTTCTGTTGCGAATACGGTAGTACAACAGGGTCGAGAGATTGGTCTATGTGATGCTTTCCAGTGATGTTTCCTTTCAAAATCACCAGGTCTGTCCTGACTTGGCTACAGATGCTGGATTGATAGGGCTAATGATGCTGCCACCCCAAACGTTTTGACATCTTGAAATAGGAATCTTTGCCAGTTTCTGTTCTACCTGCATTGCAGTGTCAGCGTTACGTCTCGTGGTGGTCTGTAAGCTCTGATATTGTACTGATGCAGTCTTCTGGACACTGTCCAGCGACTGACATGATGACTGTCTCAGCTGATGATGTCACAGTGATAATATCATTACTCAGATGGAGGATATGCATGTACAAATTACTCGGTGGTGGTGACGGGAGGTGTGCCACTCCTAGGCAGACAAAATCACAAACATCTGAACTTGTTTCTTGGATCCGTATGACACTCACACAGTTGGACCGTATGGCGCTCGCACAGTTGATCATGTGACACACAGTTGATCCCGTGATACTCACACACTTGGACCTATGACACTCACACACTTGGACCTATGACACTCACACACTTGGACCTATGACACGCACACACTTGGACCTATGACACTCACACACTTGGACCTATGACACTCACACACTTGGACCTATGACACACGGAAATGGTCCTGTGACACTCGTAGTTGGTCCTGTGGTATGCACGGCCTCAATTAACTGTACAAGGTATACTGGTTACAAATCCACCATTCGCCTCCATCTTTGATATGTCAACACCATCCCCGTTCTTGTACGTTTCTCCGTGGCAAAAGTCACTGACCTCACGTTGACCTTTCCGCTCACACAGCCAGCACACTGTGATAAATACTCATCTCACGCACCCACTGGAACCACTAAGGTAACCTTCATCATGTTGATTCATCCTTGTCAGAATCCCCAGGATTTGACCTTCCGTTTATCTCTCCCCAGACCTGCTACCAACAGGAGGGCAACAACACCGACAGGTGCGACTCCGGGGCCTTCCTCGAGGGTGACCGCTGTGCATTCTGCTGCCAGAAACACCTCTGTAATGTCGACGCTGTCATCATGGAAGGTAACAGCTGAATTCTAGGAGGTATCATAGTCAAGACGTTTGTTGTAACTCGAAATTTCACGAATTAAGAACATATCTCCCAACGAATTTGCTAACAAATTTCAGTAATAAAACTTTTTAGATCAGTCGCGTGTAGGGGCGTGTAATGCAGACATATATGCTATATGGAGCTTGATGGTCAAAGACACTTCACCATTGAGTTTCATATTTTCTTCTTACCCTGTAGTCCAAAGAGTTCATATTTTGCACATCCGTTGACTTGTGGCGCGGTCCTTTTAAAGATCCTCAATTCTGTGCATTTTCAGCAGTTTAGGTATTGGCTGGTCCGTGTTCGAATCCCAGAATCCTGCTTGTGACTTTTTTGCAGTGGTAGAAACAAACATTTTTGGTCCACTAGTCCTTATAATGATAAAATATACTAAAACTCCTAAAAATGGTAAATATCTACTAGTCCTTATGATATTGGGCAGTTTGGCAAGTACTAAAGGACTAGTGCCAATTTCTAACGCTGGTGAGTGTAAACGTGTATGACCTGTATTATATGGGTTCTTCTTCCAGCATTAAGCTCACATGCAGTGATATAATGAATACTATTCAAAGCGGATTTAAATCCAACTCACTCACTCACTCACTGATTTGCGGTGTAGAGGTACCGACGGCCGAGACCCTGGTCACTGATGGAGCAAAGATAGCCGGAGATGGACACACGGAGGGACATCGGTGCTATGTGTGCGATGGCGAGACGGACAATGCTCAGTGTAGTCAACCAGACCACCTACACACCTGCCCTGACAACGCAGTGAGTACAACCTATACTACTCAAAAGAACTTACGGATCACCCGATTCTTTCCTATCACAAAAGTTAATCTGTCAGGGCATGAATGGTTAAGTATAATAATATGAACGAATCGGGGGTCATTAACTTCTGTTGAGTACGTTTAAAACGAGCACGCTTACAACGAACTGTTTGTTTGGTCCCGGTCATTTGCTGTAGATTTTATCATATAAAATTGCAGGATTTAACGAACACGCTTATAGCGAAATAACGGATATAGCGAATTTACTTTGTTGTCCCCTGTGTACTCTGTCAACTCTGTTTGAGTGTATAACGAACTGTTAATCCCTGTATGTCTTAGTTGACACCGGAAACGCTTGAAGGTCGAAACTTTCAGTGTATATATGTTGCGACTGTGATATTCACAGGAGACTATTTTCTTCTACAACCCCGCCTTGGCGTAGATGACAAAGAACGAAATTCACTGCATGATTCATTCGCTATAAACACCCAAGGTTAAACTCTAAGGCTAAAAGGGGCGGTCGGGTAGCCTAGTGGTTAAAGCATTAGCTCGTCACGCCGAAGACCCGGGTTCGAATCCCGACATGGGTACAATGTGTGAAGCCCATTTCTGGTGTCCCCCGTCGTGATATTGCTGGAATATTGCTAAAAGCGGAGAAAAACCAAACTGACTGACTCACTAACTCTAAAACTAAAATAAAAACAGGAAATGTTCCTGGGCACTTTAAATCCCAGGCCTCATTCTTTGTTGCCATTAATTTTTCAATATTGCCAGCGTCATATAAAGCAGACTCTATTATGCATAGAATTGGCGTACTTGACAAAGAACAGAGTTCACTGCCTTGACTGTTTCTCTGGAAACAACCAAGGCTGAACGTTAAGGCTAGAAAAAAGCAGGAAACGGTTCTCAGTCATCGATCTGTCACTTTAAATCCTATGCGTCATATTTTATTGCCAATATTTTTCAAATTGACAGCGTCATAGGAAACAGACTCTCTTATCCATTTAACACACGTTTTCCGTTTCCATTAAGATCCGTGAAGATCCGGAGCAGAATAGGTCTTCAGCAACCCATGCTTGTCCTAAAAGGCGACTATGCTTGTCGTAAGAGGCGACTAACGGGATCGGGTGGTCAGGCTCGCTGACTTGTTTGACACGTCATTGTATCCCAATTGTTTGGATCTATGATCATGATGTCAGTCACTTGATTGTCTGGTCCAGCATCGACAATTTACAGACCGCCGCCATATAGCTGGGATATTGCTGAGTGCGGTGTTAAACAACAAGGCAACCAACAACCGTTTCTATTAAAAAGCGGGGCGGTCGGGTAGCCTAGTGGTTAAAGCGTTAGCTCGTCACGCCGAAGACCCGGGTTCGATGCCCGACATGGGTACAATGTGTGAAGCCCATTTCTGGTGAACCCCGCCGTGATATTGCTGGAATATTGCTAAAAGCGGCGTAAAACCATACTCACCCACTCACTCACTTAAAAGCCGAGTTCAAGCTGTACCTTGTTTTCAATAAATGCGTTTTTCCAAGCCACGGAGAAGATCAAAACAACTTTGTGTTACTTCACTGAATACTTTGTGTTGTTTCCAGACGGCTTGTCTCACCACTGTGTACTATGGATCCAGGAGTTCCGTCATCACGAAGACGTGTTCCAAGTTGCAGGTCAGTTGTATGACGTTGAAGAAATTCAAAATCTGCCTGGCAACAGAAAACATACAGCCATGTTTGATGGTGGCTAGAATGAAACAGGAATGAAATGTTCATTCGATGGGGATGTATTTGATACAGGTATCACAGTTGTGTTTTGGACCTTTAGTATTCAGTGTTTCGGCGACTGTTTTCAGCCTAGTAACGTTTTGATAATAATTCTTCAAATCTATCTTTTAAAGTGTATTCTTTCTTTTGTCTAGCAGTTTATATGAAGGATCTTCAAGGTATAAGTCTAGGATGAAGCATGTCCGAAGGGTTTTATGATATTTAAAACCCGCATCCGTTTTAAACGTTTTATATATAAAAAAAACACAAGGGGAAATGTTTGATCTAACTTATAAACCGACAAAAGACACTAAAAACAACATTTATTAACATTTTTCAAACATAATTTCTATGAACTTTTAAAACGTGCGTAAAATATCTGACTTACGATACTTGAAAAGACATTCTTAAAAGCATTGTGATATGTCAGCGCCTCTGTATTACTGGGCTGCAGATAATAGCGTTACGTTTTCGGTCCTCGGGAATATAAAGAAAACACTTGTCATTTGATTTTACATTTCATTTCATTGTGTGCAAATGCAAAATAAATTTCTAGCGAGAAACATTCATGTTACAATATATACGGAAGTTGTATTAATAATCTCCTTGCTGACCTTCAAAAACCCGTCACCTTGACCCAAAGCCTGTGCCTTCGCCACACATACGGGTCACAAGGCTGCCTATGTCTGGGCTCGGCTCCACACAGCGATTTGCTTTGTTTATTGTAACTCACATACTTTAACATTGGCTTACGAAAGTCGTAGCGCTAAAAATGTTTTGGGAAACCGTGCCCGGGTGAACATGCACCCACCCGACCTTCCTGCCCTGTGACCTTGGCCCAGTCAGTACATAGGACCTATTCATAGGGGTCACATGACTTCCTACCTGTCTAGTCCTCGTGCACCCACTCGACCCTATTGACCCTGTGACCTTGACACCTTCAGTACATAGGGACAAGATCCGTGCAGATCCGGGGTAGAATAGGTCTTCAGCAACCCATGATGTTGTGAAGGCGACTATGCTTGTTGTAAAAGGCGACTAACAGGATCGGGTGGTCAGGCTTGCTGACTTGGTTGATGCATGTCATCGATCCCAATCGCGTGGATCGATGCTCATGATGTCAATCACTGCATTGTCTGGTCCAGGCTCAATTTTTCACAGAGTGTGGCGTTAAACAACAAACAAACAAAACAAACGATTCGCTGTGCAGAGTTGCGTCCCTTTGGCACGCCAGAAACCTATGATTGTGGGTTCGAATCCCGGTTCGCCCCAATTATGTTTCTAGGTTTGTCAGCACCATACCCGTGCTCGTGGGTTTCACCAAAGTGGTAAACGTCTGAGACCTGCATCACTTCGGGCTTTCCTCCCACATTAAGCTGACACGCCGTGATATAACTGGAATACTGTTAAAAGCGGCGTTAAACCCAACTCACTCACTCACTCAAATACGTTGGATAACACGTTTTATTTGTAAATCGCAGTCATGTATGAACCTACAAGAAAACAACGACGGCGACTGTTGGGATGAAGATGAGGCGTATGGAAAGTGTTCTTACTGCTGCGAGGGACCCGGATGCAACAAGGCAGTGATACCAGGGATAGGTATGGACACTAGGGAAGAAAAACATGGGCGTTTGGTGCGGCATTTAACTATGTTGACGCTTTCACATGAATGCTTGGACAAACGATTTTCGTTAATTCATTGTTCTATACATAACTTAAACGTCAATTGTTTTGAATAGATGTCAAATTAAAGATCGCGATCATGCGCATGCTTGTCCTAACATTTCAAGTATATGCCTTCACATTGTTAATATCATGATGTCGTTCTTGGATTAGGTGATGAGAGTGCTGAAGACAACGTTGCCCCTCCCCCCGGTGCCCACCATGCATCAAAGGATAACCACCCACACCCCGGAGGGCCCGCAAGCAAGGGGCGACCAGGAAGCAAGGAAGTTAGGCATTCCTCTGGAAGCAAGTCAATTAAGCATCCCTCTGGAAGCAAGGAAATTAAGCATCCCTCTGGAAGCAAGGAAACAAAGCATCCCTCTGGAAGCAAGGAAATTAAGCATCCCTCTGGAAGCAAGGAAATTAAGCATCCCTCTGGAAGCAAGTCAATTAAGCATCCCTCTGGAAGCAAGGAAATTAAGCATCCCTCTGGAAGCAAGTCAATTAAGCATCCCTCTGGAAGCAAGGAAATTAAGCATCCCTCTGGAAGCAAGTCAATTAAGCATACCTCTGGAAGCAAGGAAACTAAGCATCCCTCAGGAAGCAAGTCAATTAAGCATCCCTCTGGAAGCAGGTCAATTAAGCATCCCTCTGGAAGCAAGGAAATTAAGCATCCCTCTGGAAGCAAGTCAATTAAGCATCCCTCTGGAAGCAAGGAAATTAAGCATCCCTCTGGAAGCAAGTCAATTAAGCATCCCTCTGGAAGCAAGTCAGTTAAGCATCCCTCTGGAAGCAAGTCAATTAAGCATCCCTCTGGAAGCAAGTCAATTAAGCATCCCTCTGGAAGCAAGTCAATTAAGCATCCCTCTGGAAGCAAGTCAATTAAGCATCCCTCTGGAAGCAAGTCAATTAAGCATCCCTCTGGAAGCAAGTCAGTTAAGCATCCCTCTGGAAGCAAGTCAGTTAAGCATCCCTCTGGAAGCAAGTCAATTAAGCATCCCTCTGGAAGCAAGTCAGTTAAGCATGCCTCTGGAAGCAAGTCAATTAAGCATCCCTCAGGAAGCAAGGAAATTAAGCATCCCTCTGGAAGCAAGGAAATTAAGCATCCCTCTGGAAGCAAGTCAATTAAGCATCCGTCTGGAAGCAAGTCAGTTAAGCATCCCTCTGGAAGCAAGTCAATTAAGCATCACTCAGGAAGCAAGGAAACTAAGCATCCCTCAGGAAGCAAGGAAGTTAAGCATCCCTCTGGAAGCAAGGAAATTAAGCATCCCTCTGGAAGCAAGGAAGTTAAGCATCCCTCTGGAAGCAAGTCAATTAAGCATCCCTCTGGAAGCAAGTCAATTAAGCATCCCTCTGGAAGCAAGTCAATTAAGCATCACTCTGGAAGCAAGTCAGTTAAGCATCCCTCTGGAAGCAAGTCAATTAAGCATCCCTCTGGAAGCAAGTCAATTAAGCATCCCTCTGGAAGCAAGTCAATTAAGCATCCCTCTGGAAGCAAGTCAATTAAGCATCCCTCTGGAAGCAAGTCAATTAAGCATCACTCAGGAAACAAGGACAGTAAGCATGGCTCCTGCCGGGGGAAGTCCTGTGAAAAACCTGATAAACCTTGCAGGGGAAAATCCTGTGAGAAGCCTTGCAAGGGGAAATCCTGTGAGAAGCCCGATAAACCTTGCAAAGGGAAATCATGTGAGAAGCCTGATAAACCTTGCAAAGGGAAATCATGTGAGAAGCCCGATAAACCATGCAAGGGGAAATCCTGTGAGCAGCCTTGCAAAGGGAAATCTTGTGAAAAGCCCGATAAACCATGCAAGGGGAAATCCTGTGAGCAGCCTTGCAAAGGGAAATCTTGTGAGAAGCCATGCAAGGGGAAATCATGTGAGAAGCCCGATAAACCATGCAAGGGGAAATCCTGTGAGCAGCCTTGCAAAGGGAAATCTTGTGAGAAGCCCGATAAACCATGCAAGGGGAAATCCTGTGAGCAACCTTGCAAAGGGAAATCTTGTGAGAAGCCATGCAAGGGGATATCCTGTGAGAAGCCTGATAAACCTTGCAAGGGGAAATCCTGTGAGAAGCCCGATAAACCATGCAAGGGGAAATCTTGTGAGAAGCCCGATAAACCATGCACAGGGAAATCTTGTGAGAAGCCTGATAAACCATGCACAGGGAAATCTTGTGAGAAGCCTGATAAACCATGCACAGGTAATTCTTGTGAGAAGCCTGATAAACCATGCTCAGGGAAATCTTGTGAGAAGCCCGATAAACCATGCACAGGGAAATCTTGTGAGAAGCCTGATAAACCATGCACAGGGAAATCTTGTGAGAAGCCTGATAAACCATGCACAGGGAAATCTTGTGAGAAGCCTGATAAACCGTGCTCAGGGAAATCTTGTGAGAAGCCCGATAAACCATGCACAGGGAAATCTTGTGAGAAGCCTGATAAACCATGCACAGGTAATTCTTGTGAGAAGCCTGATAAACCATGCTCAGGGAAATCTTGTGAGAAGCCCGATAAACCATGCACAGGGAAATCTTGTGAGAAGCCTGATAAACCATGCACAGGGAAATCTTGTGAGAAGCCTGATAAACCATGCACAGGGAAATCTTGTGAGAAGCCCGATAAACCATGCACGGGGAAATCTTGTGAGAAGCCTGATAAACCAGACCTCCCTGATAAGCCTGACAAACCTGATAAGCCAGACAAGCCTGATAAACCAGACAAGCCTGACAAACCAGACAAGCCTGATAAGCCGGACAAACCCGATAAGCCAGACAAACCTGATAAGCCAGACATACCCGATAAGCCTGACAAACCAGACAAGCCTGATAAGCCGGACAAACCCGATAAGCCAGACAAACCTGATAAGCCAGACATACCCGATAAGCCGGACAAACCCGATAAGCCGGACAAACCTGATAAACCAGACAATCCTGATAAGCCAGACAAGCCTGATAAACCAGACAAGCCTGACAAACCAGACAAGCCTGATAAGCCGGACAAACCCGATAAACCAGACAAACCTGATAAGCCAGACAAACCCGATAAACCAGACAAGCCTGATAAACCAGACAATCCTCATAAGCCAGACAAGCCTGACAAACCAGACAAGCCTGATAAGCCGGACAAACCCGATAAACCAGACAAACCTGATAAGCCAGACAAACCCGATAAACCAGACAAGCCTGATAAACCAGACAATCCTCATAAGCCAGACAAGCCTGACAAACCAGACAAGCCTGATAAGCCGGACAAACCCGATAAACCAGACAAACCTGATAAGCCAGACATACCCGATAAGCCGGACAAACCTGATAAGCCGGACAAACCAGATAAACCAGACAAACCTGATAAGCCAGACATACCCGATAAGCCGGACAAACCTGATAACGGCGGTGGTTGTGGGTGTGACAAACCAGACCACCCAGGTAGTGGCAGCAAGCCTTGCGACTGCGGCTGCTGTAACACCGTCATTGTCCCCAAGGTAGACATCGACATCAAAGTGAGTGTCAGCGCCGACATCATCAGGAACTGTACAAGACATAAACTGCGAGAGCTGCTGGGGCTTATCACGGAGCAACACTTCCATAAACAAATCGACCTCGGAGAAGTCACAGGTAAGAATAAGGTTATTTTGATGACGGCGTAAAATGTCATACACTTGAATTCAGGAATATGGCCTCCGAAAGCAAGTAACAGCGCGCATTCTGCACGTGCGTTAGAGACACATGTATATTCCTAAACGCAGGGGCTCGCAGGGGCTCGTGTACGGTTTTTGGTTGGAGTGAGTGAGTGAGTGAGCTGGGTTTAACGCCGCTTTTAACAGTATTCCAGTTAGATCACGGCGTGTCAGCTTAATGTGGGAGGAAAGCCCGAAGTGATGCAGGTCTCAGACGTTTACCACTTCGGTGAAACCCACGAGCACGGGTATGGTGCTGACAAACCTAGAAACGTAATCGGGGCGAACCAGGATTCGAACCCACAATCCTAGGTTTCTGGCGTGCCCAAGGGACGCAACTCTGCACAGCGAATCGCGGCGCCTTAGACGACTGGGCCACCCGTGCCCCCTCTCGGTTGGAAGATGGCTTGCAGTATATACAAGTATTTACTATATACAGGTAGTTATATGCAAGAAGCGTCATGTTCCAGGTCTGCACATATTAGTAGCGGTTATTGTGTTGGTGCCCCGGAGCACCAAGCCTAGCCCCAGCTAGGATAAATTTTAGCCCCTCTTATTTTTCGTCTCTGGACCAATGCTTGTATACACAAAGAAAAAAGTTAAGCACACCCCTATTTCTGAACCATGACAAATGGCAAAAATCATGGCATGGGATGACTGACCACAGGAGCTGGGCGATACCAATGTCATCTGATAGAACAAACGTTTGACAACAAATAAAGAAGATATTAGTGAGTTCTGATTGAAATTTGATGACAAAAACATCATGGTAACACAGGTAGTGTTTTTGACCTTGGACAATACCTAAAAAACGTATGGAGCTGCAGGATTAAGTAAAGGAGTTACGTTACTTTGATGTTTCATGTGAAAATGTTACTTAAAGTCTCTACTTGACATGATACGTGAAACAGATCAGTGGCGGGTATAACCGCCACATGCCCGGATGACGCATTCTACACTATGTCTCATGACTCCAGTCAGACGTTGGATCTGTTGATGGGTCAACAAAACCACTCCTGATGCAGTGCTGCTTGCAATTGGCGTACATCTTGTACAGGAGGATATCGTACCTGTATGCGCCGCCCCAGAATATCCCAAACATGTTCAAGGGGGTTCAAATCTGGGCTCATTGCTTGCAAGGGTAGAGTCGTTATTGCATTGGTCCTCATGTGATCCACGACTGCATGCGAACGATGAGGCCTGGCATTGTCATGCATGTACTGAGGTCGTTTAGCAAGAGGGTGGTTGTCAAAATGAGGAACGACGACTGGCCTCAAAACGTCCCGGATGTACTGAGCCCCTGTTAGGTTACCCCTTATGGTGACCAAATCCAACCTGCAATCATGAGAGATACATCCCCAAACCATTACCGAGCCCCCGCCGTATGCAACAGTCGGTTTTATGTTCCTGGGGGTGTAGGCCGTGTTAGTAAAGTACAGATTCTCGAACTGTTTTGGGGTCATCATCGGCGACCTCAACGTTAAATCAGTCCGCTACGACATTCGGTATTTAAGTTGAATGCGTCCTTTGCAGGTGATCTCCTTCCTGGGATAGAGGTTCACGCCTCCAATACAACAGAACAGATAAACAAAACTCCAGAAACAAGTAGGCCGTTCCAACTGAATAATAACTATTATTCTTTTCAACATCTATTTGAAATATTTTTGAATGTTAAAGTTTTAAACTTTTGTAACACTCAAAAGCTTGTTTGTTGTTTAACGCCGCACTCAGCAGTATTCCAGCTATATGACGGCGGTCTATAAATAATCGAGTCTTGACCAGACAATTATGTGATTGACATCATGAACATCGATCTTCGCAATTGGGACACGATGAAATGAATCAACTAAGTCAGCGAGTCTGACTTCCCGATCCCGTTAGTCGTCTCTTACTCTCAAACATGAGTTAGTGAAGTCCTATTCCTTATCCGGACCTTCACGGGTCTAACACTAAGTGGGCACTTGTACTCTACCCTAAGAATAGGACCGCCTCCGTGGTCTAGTGGTAGAGCGTCCGACCGCGTCATACCAAAAGACGTTAAAAGATGGTACTTGTTGTTACCCTGTCTGGCGCTCGGCATTAAGGGACTGGTCGGCTCGGAGTCGGTATGCTGTGTCTGAGTGGGGTATTCATGTTAAACTGCGTCATGGTATCTCAGTGAGCTAGCACTATAAATCGGCATCAGTCCGGACTAGTACAAGCAGCCACACAAACACACACACGTACATGCACGTCGCTTTAAAAGTGCAATAAACCCCATTTCACCTCACCCTAAGAATATATTTTCCTTTTTCAAGATGGAACGATTATTCCCAAGACAACAGATACACCACCGACATCAAGAGTCTCCACTACCATTCCACCCGAGTCGACGACATTGACAACGACGATCGCCCCGACCACAACTTCGACTACAACCACAACATCGACTACAACAACCACGTCTACCACAACAACGCCAACGCGTACGTTTATCTAAATGTTGCGTTTTGAATCAACAACACTTTCAATGGTCACTGTTACATCCCCTCGTCCGTGTGTTATTTATTCCATGTAGCAGAATAACGGGTTTCCTGATTGACGGGGTGTTCTGTTCTTGGGGGTGACTGCAAATTCTTCCCTGAGCTCCTATTGTTCTCCCTGGGACATCCTCCCTGGTCTAGTGGATAGAGTAGATGTCGGTGGTTCGATCACCGGCCGCGTCATACCAAAAAAAGACGTTGAAAGATGGTACCTCTTGTAGCCCTGCCTGGCGCTCGACATTAAGGGGATAAAACAAGAATTGGTCACCTCGGACTCCACATACTGTGTCTGAGTAGGGTATCCATGTTAAACTGCGGAATGGTATCTAAGTGGGCTAGCATTATTAGTCCGGACTAGTAAAAGCAGGCACATACACAGGCGCCCGAAAGCACGCACGCATGTGTACGTCGCAATAAAGTGCAATAAACTTGAACGTGACGTTAACACTCTTGATACCGAGTTATTTCTCTGACGCAAATTTTCCTGAGATCTGATGCGTGAAGGTTGTGCAAGAATTGCGCTTGCGCAGCACTGGATCTAACTCCGGTCATAACATTACCCAGAGATGTGAAACGTGATTTTGTAAACACAATCCAATATGGCGGAAAGTTTACTTGATGGTTCGTGTTTGCCTATTTCCCCCCAAACATTCTTCACGATCCTATGGTTATCGACGACGTTTTGGAGTAATCATTGGTGATTTGATAAAAGACAGATACCCATGATCACGAATATGCTTTTTTGTCATTTCTCAGGGTAAATATACGGATTTAGATTACAAAACACGATGTAAATAACGCCTTGAACGGAGATTTAGTAATGTGTCAAATATGGCGAGACTTAATATGTGCCTAATATTCAGGGATCATATTCAGCAATTTTGCTTTGCCTAAAATGACATTGGACGATATCACAGAACAAGGAATTTCCTATAGAATTCAAAACTGTGCGTGATACTTGTTAAATTTTATTCAACTTTAAAGTAAGGGTTGAAGAGGAGGGAGATATATGTCCCTCAGGCATCCAGGGGGTAAATCCTCATTTCACCTCACCTCACCTCTTCTCGACCATACAGCGTTCCAGTGTTACCAGTGCGAGGGGGTGGAGTGTCAGAGCCCGTGGGTGGATCCTTGTCCCTCCGCTCTCTGCCGCACCACCATAAAACAAGACTCCGAAGGGAAGCGAACACTCAGTAAAAGGTACGGACCCGCTTGTACTGTCTCAGTTGTTAAGACGCCAAAACACGTAATGCAGAGTTGCGTCCCTTTGACGTGCCAGAAACCTAAGATCTAGGGTTCGACTCTCTGTTCGCCCTGATTATGTTTTTAGTTTTGTCAGCCCCATACCCGTGTTCGTGGATTTTACCAAAGTCATTAAATTCTAAAACCTGCATCACTTCGGGCTTTCCTCCCACACCAAGCTGACACGCCGTGATATAACTGGAATACTGTTCAAAGCGCCGTTAAACCAAACTCACTCACTTAACGGACAGGTTACTAAAGTTACACCAATATGTATCTAGCCCCTCCCAGAGCCCACAATGTTATCGTTAAACCTGTTTATTGTCTATTCACGTCAACTCAAGAAATGTTTCGGGTGAATTGGTTGATAGAAAATAGACCTCTCTTACCAATAAATTGCAGCAAACGAATGATTTGCTTCGGACTGAATATAATGCAAAGAAAATGTACGCTTATGCCGTACGTATTGTCGTGTTATAGTGTTTGATGCGCCGTAAAATCTCTTTTCAGCTGCAGTAACGAGGCGTTCTGTGAAAAGGAGTGGTGGCAGAAAACTGCCCCAAACAACGAGTGCTTCTTCTTGGACGAAAGTCCGTCCGGTCCACCTGACATGCCACTCACGTGTACATTCTGTTGTGAAGGGACACGGTGCAACAAAAACTTTCTTCCAGATTTCAGCAAACTGTACAGCAAAAATCACCACGGGACATCAAGACCAGAGAGTGAAAACTAATATCTTTGGCCTATATGAATGTTACATTTACCGTTGGAATAATATTCTAGTCGAGCAAACACCGAAATGCGAAATCATCTACATAAATACATTGTAAAATATAAAAACAGCAATGTCTGAAGCTATATTTGTGGCATATGCACTAGTACATGTCTGTTATAGTATGGAGCTCTTCGAAACAACATCTCAATAAAAGGAGAATAGACTCTTTATGCCGCTCTTCTCAATAGACTATCTGTGCGCGCAAGCTAATGAAAAGCTATTTGTTTCTTATATGGAATAAACACATGCGCAGCCTTCCTGTTGTGGGCTATTGATGATAACACTCATAAAATGTCAACATAAACACTAAACATAAACACTCAATATAGCACACAACATCAACACTCAACATAACACATATGATTTAGAACTCAGATACGCGTTTGTTCTTGTACGATATGGGCGAAGGGGTAGCCATGTGGCCTAACCGGTTGCTCGTCTCACCAAAAAGTCGGTTCGATTCCCGAAAACGGGTATATCTGAAGCAGATGACATTTCTTATAACGATATTGTTGGAGTAAACAAACACCATTCCGTGTGTCCCTGGCCGTGATGTTGCTGTAATGCATAGTGACACCCAACACTCACACCCATATACGAAATACTATTCCATATTTTAAACATCCTATTTCCTCTCCTGAAAGGTCCGGGGTAGAATAGGTCTTCAGCAACCCATGCTTGTTGTGAAAGGCGACTATGCTTCTCGTAAGATGCGACTAACGGGATCGGGTGCCCAGGCTGTTTGACTTGGTTGATGCATGTCATCGATCCCAATTGCGTGGATCGATGCTCATGTTGTCAATCACTGGATTGTCTGGTCCAGACTCGATTATTTACATACCGCCGTCATTTAGCTGGAATATTGCTGAGTGCGGCGTAAAACAACAAACCAACCAAAATGGTTAATTATCTATACGTCTTTTGTTATCCTTGATGCTATCTTGTGCTGGATGCAGTGCTTTACGTAGCGTAATTGACCAAAGTACCTGTACTTTAATATTTAAACAAATATTATTATCTGCATTAGTGTAATGTTCACAAAAGTTCTAAGCAAAGGAAAGCAAGGAGAGTCAATTACATAGATGCACAGGTAGTTATGCCTTCTGACTGACAAGAAACTGACATTACAACTACAACGACATTGAGTGAAGATAAAATCATTTAGAAACTAGTGTATTCGTGTGTAAAACATCATTTTGAATATTTTATGTACGTTTCAGTTACTTTTGTCAGCCGTGACTCGAAGTCACCAGGGTCGGGTATTAGTTATTTATGCCAATACTTTTCTGGATGTATCGGCCACTACCCCTATGCAATTTCGTCGTGGTACCTCCGGGGGAAGATTTTTCACTTATTTACCGTTTCCAGTATGTATAATGTTCACTCAATTTACGTTGTATTTATTTTCTCAGTACCATTGCTAAGATAAAATTTGATGACATAATTGCAGGTCGATCGTATGGTTACAGTCGGTCGAAATGTGAAAGCCTTCTTTTTAAAGTCGACCCACATGTAATAAAAAGTATGAATCGAATAGATCTTTCGCCCACACCATGTCGATTCTATACAATTTCGTGAAAAATAACAACCTTGGAAAAACAGGGAATAAAGAGTTACGTCCCTTCGATCTAGTGTCGAAGAAATAATTATGGTCAATTTCGTTCATTTGGACCGAAGAGCATGCAAAAACTAAGAGTGTTCGACTTTTCCACAACCGCTTGATGGATTGAGCTGTTTGTGTTGGCAAGTGTTCCTGGCCATAAAGACGTACAGTAAACTACGTTTATAACGAACACGCTTATAACGAACTGACGGATATAACGAACTGTTTCTTGGTGCCGTCCATTTTCTGCAAAGATGTTGTACTGATGCTTACAACGAACTACGGTTATAACGAATTAAAATTAGTAGTCCCTTTGACTTCGTTATAACCGTGGTTTAATGTCTTTGTTCTGCTGTTTTATTTTAGAAATTCAGCTCGTACTTAAATGTAAACAAGAGCGTCTCAACAAAATATTTTTTGTTAAGTGATTGCATGAATGCTTTCTTTTCTTGTGGTGTTTTGCCTGACAGTCGGCAATTTGTATTTGGGAACTTCTCTGCCCCGGAATCCCCAAATAGGTCTGTTCTGCACACTAGGAATATCATCAGTAATCTCCATTCCTTCAAAATAATAGACCCCGGCTCCATTATGTTTAAGGAATGGGGAGTTACTCGAACATTCCCATCTACATAATGCTATGTTATAGATAGCCAGCCTTGCTCGAAGGCTGTACTGAATAAACAGTCCATTGATGTGCAGTAATTATACCCTCCTAATAGGCAATTGTAGATGTGTGAATAGTACGTAAGGACTCCAGTCTCTTATTTACATAATCTAGAATTTATGATTTTTACTAATAGTTATTGCCTCAGAGAACTGCGCAAGTCTATGCTAGGAGTGCGTAGCTTCTCTGCTAGGGGACCTAGGGTATTCTGAACCTTTTCACCGAATTACAACCTAGCACTGCATTCCTCAGTGTGAATTATGCGTATTTCCAAGATGATTCCATAATTGACCTCCACAAGTTTAACCTGTCTACATACAAAATGTGTACATTGGTTGAAAATAAGGGGGACGCTAAAATACTGCAGAATAATAGTTCCTAAATGTTTCGTGTATACAAGATAAATCCTTGAGTGAGTAAGTATGGTTTTACGCGATTTTTAGCAATAATCAAGCAAGATCACGGCGGGGGACACCAGAAATGTCTGAATCGAACCCGGGTCTTCGGCGTGACGAGCAAACGCTTTAACCACTAGGCTACCCGACCGCCCCAAATCCTTGGGTGAAATGTTAGCATCTCCTGACAAACTTCATTTTTCCCTAGTTACGCTTAATCCAACATTATATTTTTTTGGTATGTTAGGAATCCGCGTGAGTACATTTAGCAACATTCCAGCTAGATCACGGCTGTTCTCAACTTGACCATCTGAGCCAGACAAACCAGTGATTGAAAGCATGACCATCCTGGCACATATTGTGACCACCGATCTTCATCATTTTAGTCGACTTTTATGGTAGACAAGGATATTGTGATCTATTCTACCCCATCATCGATTACCCAGTTTATCATATCTCTGTTGTATTATGATAAATTCCCTGGGCCTATTCGCTATATAAGCTTCGAGCCTTTTTCAACTTACACGACGCAAAAAATAGCCGTCCAATCACATGAGCGAGGGAAATTCTGTGCGAGGTAAGTGATAAGAGCAACAGACATGGCGAAGCATTAGCGGCGACTGGGTCCAGGGTATTTATCATAATAGAAAAGAGATATAGTACCCTGGACAACCGAGGATGATTCTACACCAGAAAACCCGCGAGAGAAATTCAGAATGGATATACCGCCTTCAATACGTTGCATTACTACCAGCGCGACGCCGGGCAATGCTCTCAATGAAACCGGTACGTGCCAAATCTCAGACAGCTCGGCAGCTGAGTGACAGCTATGTGCTCTCACATAGTCTATGTAGCCCAACGATCCGGATCTATGTACCTCAAGGTCGCCGAGCCTTCAGGGTCATCCTGACCTCCACGCGTTATGTAACAGACGAGGAAAAACATGTTATGACTTTATTATACCATAGACACGCGCGTGTTTAAACATATGCATCCGTATCGGGAAAAAATGTCATTTTTACGGTGTACAAAGTACAATAGCTGTAAGCAACTACGCCAGCAATAACAACCGTTATCTTAATCCAATTTTTTTTCACGTATATTTATGCTTTTTATACGAAGATTATATAGACTGTCATTCGCCTCTTGCTCAAAAGTTGTTTGATCAAGGTTGCAACACTCAAGACCTCAGCACAACTTTCAAAAAGCTTAATGGTAGACATGTAGAGGAAACTTCCAAATTTGACGCATCAGTGACAAATATTATGACTGATCAAATTCCCTATTTTGACTTGTACCATATGTTCCCGTGATTTTTCAGGTGAACAACTGACTTACCTTTGTATGACATTATGTTTGTGACGGGGGCCACCGTTAGGACAGGATAGACACATCCTTTCGCGAACACCTGGTAATATCTCTTTTTGATAGTGATTCATAAAAACATCAATATGCTGGGCAGAATTTTAATTTGAAATTAAATTCACAAAAACAAAAAACTATTTGGAAAGTTCATCTTTTTTTTCGAAGATAAGGGGAATGTATTTAGTTTGTACGTCTAACAAAATCACGATATGCTTATTTAATAGCACGATCACATTAAGGCTTGCTTTTGAGTATTTATATGTATTTCAGCTGAGAGTGAGAATTGTATGATGTTTGTCATTATATTTTTTAAAAATAATAAACTAAATTAAGAAAAAGCTTCCAAACACTTAGAAACAACAAAACTAATTACTAAAAAAATAGGCAACGTTATTATGACTGCATTTCGTCTACACGTGATGCAGGAAATAGATTGGCTATATTTTGTAACTGACATGAGCAGTCTGCCTTCGACCAGAGCCTGTCGAGGGCCGTTTGTCCTGTGTGTGTTGTTGTGACGAATTGCCGGAATGACAAGACAATTATGCATCGGATACCGACAACGAAGGTGTACACGCCTAGTTCACGTGGAGGATGTCACGGACTCAAATTTACATTCCGCCAATTTTAGTTTCTATAAATACCAGCAATCCTTAAAATGGAAGCTAGAAATATAAAAATCAGGACATTAAAACCAAAACATCTTGCTATATATAGAAATGACCCACCCATTGGTGACACATTTGTCTTAGTTAAGTAAATTAGATTGGATTAAGTACAAAAGTATATATTTAGGAAAATTTTATTTTCATTTTATATAATTAAATATGTTTATTATTTTTCCTACATCAACACAAATAATTGAATAACAAAATGCGAGAGTATGTGATAGGAAACTGACTTGGTATTGCAAACATTATCTGTGCATTGATTTCACAGAACGTAAACACTAGCGCTATTTATGACGGCCAATTCCCTACAGTCAAGGCCGATTCCAAAACTGAGACGGTTGGCTGGTCGCTATTTCACAAAATAAGTTTACAAGCATCCGGATACTGCAGCTGTCGCAGAGGTTCAAGATCAGAGCATATATCAGACCAGGAAAACCTCGTCGTTCACGTACTGCCTCGATCACAGCCGCACAGATACGGAATCCAAGCTTACATCAACGGGGATCGGCGATAAAAAAAAGATTCAATTCCTCTCCCACTACCCATGTGTCCCGAGCG